GGAGTGGGTACTAATCTGGAGGGGTGTGTTCCAGCAGTGGGGAGCCTCCAGCCTGCCAAACTGTTCTAGGCAAGCCTTGGGAGATCCTCGTTGAGGTGTTTCAACACAGGAGGGTCTGTGCAGAGCTAGAGCCAGCGTTAGAAACTAGCTAGGCGCCAGGCATGTTTTGCAAGTTGGCACAGGTTCTGTTGTGACCACGTGGAGATCTCTGGAAGCCAGGTTGGCGCATAGGGAAAGCAAAATTTCACTGAGAGAAGGATCTGAAATATTTCCTTTGAAGCTTGAATTTGTTTTATTCTGGGGTGTTTTATTTGTTGTCTTAATGTGTTGTAAACTGCTTTGAGATTTGTTCTTTAAAATATAAAGCGTTATAGAAATGAAATGAAAAACCGCAACAACAAATCCCTAGGTTTAAGGTGCCGTTTGGCAATTAGATTGTATATTTGAGTTTCTAACACTGGTTAGAGCAGGTTTCCTTTTTTAAGCATGCATTTTATTGATTCTCAGTGTACAGGAAAATAAATAAACAGTACAAAACACAGAGTGCAGATTATCTTTCACAAAACGCAGTTACAGTGCCACACAGAGTTACATCTTATCCAGGAATCAGATCTCTCCATAATGGTACATGTGTCACAGGCAGTTCAGTTAAGGTGGCAAACTTATTAACATAAGCAAGAAACATAAACCAGGTATTCTCAAACTTGCCTTCTTAACCTGACCTCTAACTACCCTGCTATGCTGAGCTAACCTCTCCGGTAACGCCATTTCCCAGACTCTGGCGAAACGGTTTTGTATCGTAAGCCCTAATTGAGCTGCAAATTCCACCCTAGCAGCCACCAATAAAAAAACCTTGTCAAATCCTTAAAATAACCTCCAGGTTGATTTCATTTCCTAATGCGAGGAGAGCCAGTAAGTCCCAAGTTGGTTTCTGGGGACTTAAGGAATGTAGAAAGGGGGGTTATATTGAGTCAGGTCATGTGGTCCATCTAGCTTAGTATTGCCCACACTGACTGGCAGTGGCTCTCTGGGTTTTCAGACAAGGACCTCTCCTAGCCTTACCTGCAGATGCTGGGAATGGAACATAGCACCTTCTGCCCACAAAAACAGGTGCTCCACCGGGGGGGGGGGAGTAAATGAGGCTCCTTGTAAGCTGGAGGCCACGAGGCTTCTGCTCACTGCCCAGCCGACTTGACGCTTGCTTGGAGTCTGCGTTCCAAAAGCAGCCTTGCTTCTCAATCTTTAAGCGAAGGTGGGGCGAAAGAGAGGCAAGTTCGTAGCCCTCGTGGTTTTGTGAAGATGTGTGAGGTACAGAGGAGACAAGGCCATCCACAACTTTGCTTCTCCTCTAAGGAAAAAGCAAATTCTGAACACGGAATTGGTATCTACAGCCACAGCAGGCGCTGTAACTGTCCAGCGGTTTGACTTCACCCCCGAAGGCACGCTCTTCCATATTGTCTCCCGAGACAGACAAATGGCAACCATCAGAAAAAATGCAAACCAATTTATTATGTATTCTATCCTGAAAATAGAGGGCACAGAAACAGAAGAAGAAGAGGAGGAGTTTGGATTTGATATCCCGTTTTATCACTACCCGAAGGAGTCTCAAAGCGGCTCACATTCTCCTTTCCCTTCCTCCCCCACAACAAACACTCTGTGAGGTGAGTGGGGCTGAGAGACTTCAGAGAAGTGTGACTGGCCCAAGGTCACCCAGCAGCTGCATGTGGAGGAGCGGGGAAGCGAACCCGGTTCACCAGATTACGAGTCTACTGCTCTTAGCCACTACACCACACTGGGACAGGGAGCGGCGGCAGAGGGTCTCTAGAAGCAGAGAACTGTAGTCATAGGGGGCTGAAGGAAGGTGATGGGAGGAGGGGTGAAGAGGGGTGTAAGCCAGCAGAAGAATTAAGCAAAATGGGAAGCTGTGTAAATGTGCTTCATTTATTCAGGAGACTGAAGCTGGGTTTGCATCTACAGTCGTACCTTGGTTCTCAAATGCCTTGGTACTCGAACGTTTTGGCTCCCGAACGCCGAAAACCCAGAAGTGCCGTATTTTTCCATGTATAAGACGCCCCCATGTATAAGACGCCCCCTATTTTTTGAGTCCCAAATTAAGAAATAAATGATTGCAACATTCCGTGTATCAGACGACCCCCAATTTCAAACTTAAACATTTTGGGGGAAATATGGTCTTATACATGGAAAAATACAGCAAGTGTTCTGGTTTTTGAATGTTCTGTGGAACCCGAACGCCCAATGCGACTTCTGTGGCTTTTAGTTGAGTGCAGGAATCTCCTGCAGCCAATCAGAAGCTGTGCCTTGGTTTTTGAACATTTTCGGAAGTCAAACGGACTTCCAGAACGAATTACGTTCGAGAACCAAGGTATGACTGTATATAATTTAAATCAAAAGGGAAGAAATGGAATTTAGCTGCAAGCTAAGCTGGAGATGATGCTTCTTTTTTAAAAAGATAAATTTTATTCAAAACTATAACAAAACATATTTTCCAAAAACATATCCTTATTTCCCCCCCCATTTTTCCTCCCCCCATAAAACCCATCCCCCCACCCCACTCCCCGACTTCCCTCAGTTCCAGTCTTTGGTTTCTCCAATATGTAATGCTATTTTCTGCATGTTACAGAGTTGTATAGATCCTCCAACTGTTTAGCTTATTCTTATCAGTAAAAAAAAATATTGTGAATTTTTATTCAAAACCTGCCAAGGAGATGATGCTTCAATGCTCCTGGGCAGGCCTGCACAACTTCTGATTGGCCAGGGCCAGCAGACATTCACTAGGGTCTAGCAGGGGCTCCTCACACTATTTGGGCTGGTGGATTCAGGTTGTATAGGCCTGGCAATGGGGTGCCTTGTGCTGATAGCCAGTGTGGTATAGTGTCAGGCTAGGACTTGGGAGAGCAGGGTCCAAATCCCCACTCAACCATGAAGCTCACTGGGTGAGCTTGGACCAGTTGCTGCCCCTCAGCCTAACCTCCTTCGCAGGATTGTTTGTGGGGACTAAATGAGGAGGGGGAGAACCATGTATGCCACTCCGAGCTCCTGGGAGAAAAAGGAGGGATATAGATGCAAATAATAGTAGGAGTAGTAGTAATAATAATAATAATAATAATAATAAGGCATGTGCACTGTCTTCCTAATACTTGAAAGGCCATGGCTCCATCTACCCTGGACCCTGGACCCTGCAGTATATTCTGCAAACAGTAATGGACGCTAAAGGTAGGCAAGTCAGTGGGCAAATTGAGGGAGAATGTTTGCGTATCAGTGGTGAGCTGAGCAATCAAAAAAAGGGGCAAGTGGAGGACAGAATATACAGTTGGAGGGGGAGGCTGTTGATCCTCACCATCTGATTTCAGTGTCCCCCCATTTTCCTACAAATGGGGCGGGGGGGGGGTCTGCTCTGTTTTATGGATCCTGGGATCCCAGGATTATGCCCTAAATCTGCCAAGCTTCTAGCTTTGCTGTTATCTGTAGCTGTAGAGCAGGCTCCTTGCAATCCCTTTATTTAATTTTATTCTTTTTTCTTCTTCTTTTTTTTGGTAATGTTTTATGTGTGTTTTTTTCACTCTTTTATCACTTGCAAAGGACTGAATGTACCCGGGTTTGGCACAGATATCATGTGCTTCCTGCAGGCAAGGAAGGAAGCAGCTGTCTTCCTGGATTTAGGGTCATCCTCATCGTCCTTTCACCCTGTTGAGCAGTCAGGGAGGCAGTGTGGGATGCAGAAGGGGTGGGTGGGGGTATGACCCAGATAAGACCAGGCTCGGATGTGGAGAGGGGCAGAAGGAAGACAAGAGCAGGAAGGTGCAAGCAGCGGGGGGGGGGGGAGTAGGGAAATAAGACTCTTCTGCATCATTTTTCAACTGAGAGCACATTTGCAAAGCTAAGCACAGTCCGGTGTGGTTTCAAATTGGATGGGGGACCACATGTTGAGATTCCTACATTGCAAGGGGTTGGACTAGATGACGCTTGGGATCCCTTCCAACTCTACAATATGAAAATCTCAGCAAACTTATTAAAAACAGAAAAATCAGAGCAGCAGATTTAAAAATGCACAAGCTAATAAGCCAGCAGAGAGCTAGACTAGCTCTAAAGACCATCCAAGACAGATGAGCAGCAGGAAGGTCAAAAGTCAGAATCTTGCTGGAAGGGAAAAGTTTTCTAAGTGATGGTGCAAGACCCATAAATAAAGAGATGTTGCAATCTCATGGGGCAGGGAGTTCCATGGGCTGGATGTCACTACGAATCACCGCTTCACTTGCCTTTTCTATAGTGGCCTTGCTTTTTATATGGGTAGCCCCATTTCTGTACGGTACGGACTCGACATCTGCCAGGGAGGTCTATAACAGTGAGAGCATAATGTGGTTGTTCGTGTGTAGCCACTGTTCTGAGTACAGTGCAACCACATCTTACGCACGGATTTGGTTCCAAATGAAAACGCGTACTCTAACCACCTCCATGCGAGCATCCCAGGCACTGGCTCTGGAAGATTAGGGATGTTCACGCAAGATTTCACGGGAACTTGGACAGCTCCATGAGATCTCGCAAGAGCATCCCAGGACCAGTGTGCCGACAAGGCCTTGCCCCCACAAGCAAGAAGGAGAGCGTAAAAGCTCTTTCTGTGCCAGGAAAACCAGGAGCAAAAAGAGCTTTTAAGCTCTCTGCCTTGCTTGCATTTAACTTGTGAAGTTTTAACCAGCCGGCCTTTAACTGCACATGGTTGAAATCACACAAGTTAACTGCACCTAAGATGCACTTGTACTATAGTTGTGGCTTGACTGCCAAAGTTTTAAGTGATGAGGGGCCTGTGCGTGTCCTACAATGTTTTCCTGCTCCCTGGCTGCTCATCCCGGCCTCCTTCATCTTTCTAGGTAGCAATTTCCCCAAATGATGCACATTCTGCCACACAAGCCTCTTGGTTTAACACACTGATGTACATTCCTTTGCACTCTGCTTAAATCTGCTGTCATTCTGTTTTTTCCTAGGCCAGAAATGTGCACAGCGGAGAGTTGGCTGCAGTAAAAATTATCAAGTTAGAACCAGGTGAGCTCTTCCTTTCTTTTCTTTTTTTAAAAAAATATTCATTTGTGATGGATTTGTTTCCCTGACAGCCTGCCTATCACACTCTTAGTCCACAGCGCTCTGGGTAGCTTTCCCTTTACCCCCCAGTTTACCCCCACAACAGCCCTGTGAAGTAGGCTAGGACGGCAGGGGTTTGAACCTGCTTCTCCCTCATCCATCTCCACCGTTCCACAATAGTGTGCCACACGATGAGGCTGGTTTGACTGAGGGGTTTTCTCTTGACCAAGCCAGCTCAAGGGACTCTTGGCTCAGTAGGTAAAGGTAAAGGGACCCCTGACCATTAAGTCCAGTCGTGACCGACTCTGGGGTTGCGGCACTCATCTCACTTTACTGGCCGAGGGAGCCGGCGTACAGCTTCCGGGTCATGTGGCAGCATGACTAAGCCGCTTCTGGTGAACCAGAACAGTGCACGGAAACACCATTTACCTTCCCACCGGAGTGGTACCTATTTATCTACTTGCACTTTGACGTGCTTTCGAACTGCTAGGTTGGCAGGAGCAGGGACCGAGCAACGGGAGCTCACCCCGTCGCAGGGATTCGAACCGCCGACCTTCTGATCGGCAAGTCCTAGGCTCTGTGGTTTAACCCACAGCTCTTGGCTCAGTAGGTAGCTGAACCCAATAACATGCTCAGGTAACAACATACATCTATCAGTTCGTTTGCTCTATCATCCTGGCTCTTTGTGGCTGTCAGATAGACTGAGTTCTCTCTGCCTGCCTCTCTGTCTCTGTCTCACAGCAAGACTTTGTAGTAGCAATTCATTCTATTCCTATGAAAAGAGGTACGAAAGATCAGGTTTCAGGTCTTTCGACTCTTGATTCATAGCACAGTCAACAACTTCTGCTTGTTTGGTGTTTATTCTTTGCTAGGTTTGCTAGTTTTTAACGTGTGATATTTTACTGTATTTTTGGTTTTTATGGAAGCCGCCCAGAGTGGCTGGGGAGGCCCAGCCAGATGGGCGGGGTATAAATAATAAATTATTATTATTATTATTATTATTATTATTATTATTATTACTAGGTAACAGTCGCAGCTTCATTTGAGCAGGGACTCTCGTTCCTGGCATGGTTGAATCAATGAATAACAGTACTTCTGAGCATGTGCAGGGTGTATCTCCTTCCCCGTTGGGTGGCCCAAACCAGAATACATATGAGCTGTGGATTGGAGGATAAAAATTAAGCCAGGGCAGATACCATTTTGGAAGTTAAACACTGACATGTACCGTATTTTTTGCTCTATAAGACTCACTTTTCCCCTCCTAAAAAGTAAGGGGAAATGCGTGTGCGTCTTATGGAGCGAATGCAGGCTGCGCAGCTATGCCAGAATCCAGAACAGCAAAAGGGATTGCTGCTTTCACTGCATAGCGATCCCTCTTGCTGTTCTGGCTTCTGAGATTCAGAGTATTTTTTTTCTTGTTTTCCTCCTCCAAAAACTAGGTGCGTCTTGTGGTCTGGTGCGTCTTATAGAGCGAAAAATAGGGTAAATGCTTGTGTACAATGCAGAATGCAAGAGCCATTCCTTATATCTTGAGTTGCTTTGGCATGCATTGCCAGTGACTGGGTCTTGCTGTGTAGGGAACTGTGCACTTTTCATATTAGGTCTCCCGGGATCTCTGGTGAAACGGCTGGGAGATTCTGGTATTTTAAGATCAAAAGAGGTGTCTTAGAATAAGTTCCAGCTATTGGGTGGTGAGCACCCGCCCACCTTCGGTTTCTTGTTGTCCTCCAGTATTTCCTAATCACATAAGTGGAAGAAGCTCTATGCAGTTCATAGCCATTGACATTGTCTAATCGTAATCGTCGTCTGTCCCCCCGCCATCAAATATGCCTTGATTTCATTTTGTGAGGAGGCAGCTACAAGCCGCAAAGAAGGACAAGCAGAACAAGAAAATGGATGAAAAATATTAATACAATGACAAAATAATGGTAATAGAGACTTTTGTGATGGATAAAGATATAACACGATAGGAAAGGTTTGAGTAAAAATACTGTGAAGGTGAAGGTGGGAAGTCGACTTATGAAACATTGTATTTGACTTGAAGGTTATTGTGAAAATGTTTGGAAAAGAACAATACAATAAAAGAACAATACAATAAAAGAACAATACAATAAAAGAGAGAAAAGTAGGCTATACAGCAAAGCTACAAATACTTAGCACATTACATACCTTTTGGCAGAAAGCACCTCAAAGCTGAAGTTGTAAAGTGTCATAAAAATTTATATGAGTTATACCAAGAATCATGGGCGATCGCTGTCCTGAACTGTCTCCAAAAATTCAGCTGTGAGAGTGGCGGTTGAGTGAGCCCTTCTGACCAGGCCACAACACCAGGAGAGACCACCAGATACCCCCAAACTTGTCAGTCTTAGGAAGACCTTTATACCAGCAGTAATCATGGTTGAAAACAAAAACAAAACCCAAAGCCAGGCGAGCCAAAGGCCACTGGTGCATCTTGCAGAAGTGAATTCCATAAGTTAATTATTCATTGTGCAACAAGCAGTATTAAGAAATAAAAATTCCCCCATAAGAGTAATCATGTCTGCAGGAAAAGGACAACGTCGAGCCTCAGAGAGTTCATGCATCCGATGAAACACGTTCTTTCCACAATAAACAGTTTATATACTGTGGCGAGGATCTCTTTCAGCTCATGTAAACAGGGCTGTGTTAGATGCACCCTTTGTCTGCGAAGCAACTCCTTAGTTCTTTCTTTCTCATTGAAAGGATTTCCTCCTCCACCCTTTCAGCCAAAAGGGGTCTCAGAGCTACTTGTGGCCAGCAGTAGCTTCATTGATCTAGGTTGGAGGTGGACCCCCAAGAATCGCCTCCACTGCAGATCTCAGTTTGCAGGCAGGCTGGTCATGGGTGCAGGCAACCCATCCAATATCTTGTGTTCCAAACTTTTTAAGGATTCGAAGCTTAAAACCAGCACTTTGAATTGGGCTCAGAGATGCGTTGGCAGCCGCTGAAGCTGGTGTAATAGTACAGTAGGCTGTATGAATTGTGTATTGCTTTGTAACAATTTGTTGGGTCTCTGGACCGTAATAAAGGTTGAATAGTATTACCAAGACGGACTGCCTTGGTAGCAAATGAAACGAGAATGCCCCTTAGGCCAGGTGTGGGGAATCTTTGGCCCTTCAGATGTCGCTGAACCACAGCTCCCATCAGCCTCAGCAAGCGTGGCCGGGGACAATAGGAAATGTAGTCTCAGACCATTGGTTGGGCCCCACGACCAGGTCACAGCCTGTTCTAAGGTGAATTGCACTAGCCAGCATGCAAAGATACGGTAAAAAAATATGAAGAAATGGGTTCCGAAATGCATGTTTGGGTTAAAGATGGGTCTGGAAAAAATTGAAGGCCAGCGCCTTAGGCAACACCCCTGCAAGGGAAAGGTCACAAGTCTGTTTGGGCATTAAGCGTTAAGCAAATAATAATTATTCCATAAATAGGGCTGGGTTTGCCAGTCTTCTGGGCAGCTTGCCTTCTGTTAATGGCCTTCTTCTTTTGACAAGATGCCCCCGGGGTTCACCTGGACACCATTTGCCATCTTGTGGCTCTGCCCTCTAAGCCGTTGTGAGTAGGGCACAGTCACCAGGTGCTGGGAAGGTTCCTCAGGCAACCAGCGCAAGCCAGCTGCCACACATGGGGAGGAAGGAGAGGAGCTTTTGCTCTGTTTGTGGAGCTTCAGCGGTGCTGTCCTGCTTCTCCGAGCTGTGGTAGGCCGGAGAAGGATCTGCTCCGCGCCTGTGCAGGAGAAGGCAGGGGACCCTAAACGGGCTTGGCCCAGTATACCTGAAGGAACGTCTCCACCCCCATTGTTCTCCCTGGACACTGAGGTCCAGCACCGAGGGCCTTCTGGCGGTTCCCTCGCTGCGAGAAGCCAAGTTACAGGGAACCAGGCAGAGGGCCTTCTCAGTGGTGGCGCCCGCCCTGTGGAACGCCCTCCCACCAGATGTCAAAGAGAAAAACAACTATCAGACTTTTAGAGGGACATTTGAAGGAAGTTTTTAATGTTTAACAGACCACTGTATTTTAACACTTTGTTGGAAGCCACCCAGGGTGGCTGGGGAGACCCAGCCAGATGGGCAGGGTATAAATAATAAATTATTATTATTATTATTATTATTATTATTATTATTATTAATTCCTGCGGCTATCATTTGTTTCCACTGTTTTTAGTCCTGAACTTTAAATTGTTGTAGCCTGGGGCCTGCTGGTGAAGGATGGGTAATAAATTTCATCGTCATCATAATTGTCACCATCACAGTTTGTCCTGAGCCCACCAACCTTCCCTCCCCCCCTGCCAAATATAATCTTCAGTTGACCTCTGAGCCAGAAGCATCTCCTCCACGCCACCCATTGAATTTCTTTCCTCCGCCTTAGACATTCCCAAGGTCTCCTCGCCAGATTCCAGGAGAATAAAACTGGTTTTACAGCCGGAATGTTTTGTGAAGTTTCCGTGATTACGGGACAAAATAAAAGCGAGGCCTGTCAGAGAGGCACGTTGTCTTGTCTGCCTCCTCGCGATCCCCCTGCCTGCTGCTGCTGCTGCTAAGCTGACTTTTCTGTCTGGTATTTGAGGTTTTGCGTTCAGCTTTTGAGCCACCGCTGCTATTTACAAGTTTCCAGGCCTGCCTTGGAGCCAGGGGTTGCTCTCTTGGTGCCGGGGCTGAGCTGAAGGGCCTGTTTCTCTGCTGCAGGGTTCAGCTGTGGTGACTGTGTGAGAAAGAGAAGCCCTTGCAGCCAGACAGCCTCATTTATCTGCACAAGCCAGCAACTGCTTGCTGCTTTGCTCACTCTCTTGCATGTGGGATTCAGAACTTCCGTTTTCGGGTTTTGTGGCTTCCAAGCAGACCCGAAGACCTCGTATTTAAATAAAGAAACGTGCAGCGTTTTAACTCGAGCAGAGCTGACACAGTTGGATCCTCCTCCGGCTTATTATTTGCACAGCGCCATCGATGTTCAGGTGTTCCTTGCAGAGTTTCATAGGGACATGTAAATGCGTCTCTGCCCCCAAGGAGCTTGCAAGATGAAACACACAATGAGAAGGAGAGGCGAACAAAGAGGCACACTGCTCTCGAAGGAACTTTGTTCAGTGTAAAATCTCCCATCGGGTGGGAAATGGAGGAAATGCTTTTGAAACCTGGAGGCATTGCAAAGCCTTACGTAGCATGCAACCGTGAGCATTTTAGGGAACGATTGCCCAGGTTCGCACATTGATCCAGGTCCTCTGAAATGAACCATGTAGCATTGGGGCAGATAGGCGGAGCTACGAAATGGGAAGACTCTGGTTCGAATCTTGCCTCTGCCACCAGATAATATTTGGAAAGCAAACCCCCCACCTTCAGTCCTGCACCTCCAACGTAGGGATACTAATATTGTCCTTCCTTACTGGGTGATTGTAAGCGCTGTTATGTCTGTGGAATGCGCTGGACACTCTGGAGATCTGAAGGTTTGGAGTCAGACCACTGGGGAACCGCCGGGGTTCCTGAACTACAGCTCCCAGCAGCCATAACAGGGGGTCAAAGCTTTGCCACCCCTGCTTCAGCCCCACATTGTCTGATGGGGTTTGTAGTTCAGAGCATTTGGAGGGTGCCAGTTGGTGAAGGTGGCTCTGAAGCCTTGGGCAGAGAGAGATTTTCCGCATCACCCTGCCTACCTGGGTGCCTACCTTAGGAGGAGATGCTAAGGGCTGTATTTTGGAGTTTATGCCTACAAAGGAGGAGCTTGTCACTTAACGGCATCCCCTTTACTAAGAATGCAACTAACGCTTCCATTATTACTTTGTAAGAAAGCAAATATGTCAGTTCTATAGTTCCTGTTTGGCGTATGTGGCTGACACATTTGGCAGCGCTCTGAATCCTTTTACATGTGTCCTGAATTATCTAGGTGTTGGCTTGTGCTCAGTTAATAAAGAGTTGGGCAGAAAAGCAGCCTTCTCCTCCCCCAGTTAAGCTGTGGATGTTGAATTCGAATGTTACCAGCTGTTAACGCTGATTCTGAAATTAGACTAATGGGAATCTTTGCACTGTGCCATGTAACTGGAGCTATGTGCGTTCACTGTGCATATGCCCATCCTGTCCTGAGAATCTCTGCTTTTATTTTATTTTTATTTATTTTTTAAACCCCAGAAGGAATTGTAAAAATAGGATAGCTGTGTGTCACTAGCTTTTTGGCATGAAGCTAGCCCTCAACATTTTAAAAAACACAACACTCTTGGATTATCTGGAAGCAGAACCAAAAACACGAAGGCATGAAGCTAGCCTTCAGCCCTTCAAAAACCACGGAAGAAGAATTTGGAAACATAGAGGCAAGAAATGCGAAGCTCCAGCTCATTCCCATTTTTCAGGGTTTGGCTGAGCTTGTTGTATTTGAGGGCAAAAGGCTTTTGAATGGGGCCATTGTGCACAGGAAAGCCATTTGTGTGTGTTCTGGCGGGGGGCTCCTCATCTGCTTTCCTAAAAATGACGTACAGATGTTGTTTGTGTTCAAAACATACAGATCAGCGGTGGCCCTCGCTGAGTCCCTCCCCTGATCAAGGACGAGACTGCCAGAAGGTCGTGATCTGCATGACTTTTGACTTGTTCGGGGGCTTTCCCCATATCTTCTCCTCGTCTGCCTGGGGAGGGTGGGAGGAAGCTGAAGGCCACAGCAAGACTGCGGTCAGGACCCAGTCAGGCAAGACACTGGATGCTGTGCCTGGCAGGGGATCAAAAGCTGTTTTCAATTTCCCCTCTCCATACTTGTTGACGGTTGCTCTTGCCTTGGTCTCTTGCTTTGGACGCCGTTTATAATGGGTGAGAAGCTGGAGACCAGCTTCCTGTTGTTTGCTGGATTGGTGCTGCTGAGTAAAGCCAAGTGGGTAGAAGGGCCCAATTCTTGGGGGCGGAGGAATTGTGGGATGGGCATGAGTGAGAAGAATGCTGCTAATATTATTATTATTATTATTATTATTATTATTATTATTATTATTATTTATTATGGGATGGGCATGAGTGAGAAGAATGCTGCTATTATTATTATTATTATTATTATTATTATTACTACTACTACTACTACTACTACTATTTGTATCACACCCATCTGACTGAGTTGCCCCAGCCACTCTGGGCGGCTTCCAGCAGAATATACAAAAACAAAACTTCCCTGTACAGGGCTGCTTTCAGATGGGAGGGCGTTTCACAGGGAGGGTGCCACCACCGAGAAGGCCCTCTGCCTGGTTCCTTGTAACCTCACTTCTCGCAGCAAGGAAACTGTCAGAAGGCCCTCGGAGCTGGGCCGAGGCCCTTTAGGGCTTTAACGGTCAGCACCAGCACTTTGAATTGTGCTTGGAAACATCCAGGGAGCCAATGAAGATCCTTTAGGACTGGTGTTATATGGTTCTGGCGGCCACTCTCAGTTCAGCAGTCACATTCTGGATCAGTTATCGTTTCCAAGTCACCTTCAAAGGTAGCGCCACATAGAGTGCATTGCAGTAGTCCAACGGGAGATGACCACCCTGTACCCCCCTGGCAAGACAGGGCACAGGCAGGTAGGGTCTCAGATGGAAGTGGTTATGTTGGTTTGAGAGGCCCCTCCTCTTAGTGGGTGCCAGAGCCCTGTTGAAGGTGGAGAGCTAGAGGTCTCATGTTGCGCTGAGCTGGAGCATGGGCGAAGCACATCCAACTGCTTCAAGGCTTAGCACAGGCATAGGCAAACTCGGCCCTCCAGATGTTTTTGAGACTACTGTACAACTCCCATCATCCCTAGCTAACAGGACCAGTGGTCAAGGATGATGGGAGTTGTAGTCCCAAAACATCAGGGGGGCCGGGTTTGCCTATGCCTGGCTTAGCAGGTTGCAAGGGACCATCTCCTGAGTTCTTCGCCTCTCCCTGAGGACGTGCATGCTTTTTCTGCCGGCCAATTTGGCCAATTTGAAGCTTGGACCGGCTCCTTGCATAACTGGGCTATTCCCTTGTAAAACAGCAGGCAGAGCTGTCGCCCTCAGGCGTCCTAAGAGGCTCCCAGCAGCCCATCTTGCGGGGCCTGAGCACATTCTTTCCAGAGTCACTGTGGCGCTTGAGCCCCGAGGCTGCCAGCCCAGCCCTCTTGAGGAGCAGTTTTGTCTTCAGCCAGAGAAAGTAATGTGGAAAACCAGTAGAGTGGAATTCGTTTAAGAGGGAGAAGTAGCGGTGGAGGGGGAGATTTTTTAGCATCCATCGAGCAGTTGTAGCATTCTGTATTGTATTGTTTTGTTAATAATTGCAAACATGTTCTGGGATATATTTGTCAGGCTTGAGTCTTTTGTCGCTTTGGTTGCCTGAGCAGTCTGCTTTTCATCCACCTAGACTGGGGTGTCAACCCCCTACCCTGCGGCCAGTTGATGAGTAGACCTTGAGATAGGATGACAAATGCTGGGTTTGGGTTCAAAGCGAGTGCTGTGGTTGGTGCCGCCTCTGGTCACTCCTGTGCCTCAGATAAGATTCGCAGCCCCATTGACAGAGCGAGAAAATGCACTCGCACACATTTCCCTGGGTAAAAGTCAGATCCTGGGGGAATTAATCCTTGAAAAGCATAGAGAGCTGAAAGAGGAAGTGGGAAACAGCAACTCTCTTCCAACTTCCTTTGTCACGTCTGTGTACAATTCAAGGGAGAAAAAGGTAACTACCCTCACCAGAGGCCAGTGAGTAGGAAGAGAGCTCAACTCCCACCCAGCTCTGTATGCTTTTCAAGGAATTGTAGAATTGGAAGGGACCCTAAGGGTCATCTAGTCCAACCCCCTGCAATGTAGGAATCTCAGCACATGGTCCCCCATCCTTATGGAAACCATACCAGACCCTGCTTGCTTTTGCAAATGTGCTGGCAGTTTTATTGCTGCACCACTAGGATGAACGCATTAACTGCAGGTGTAAGAGAGCTTGCACACTACCAGTGTTTTATGAACTGTGATGTTTAGGGTTACATTTTTTCCTGGAGTGTTTAGTTGATTGATCAAATTAGTCAGTCAAAATTAATTTAATTGGTCAATAGCGCTGCTTGTGGAATTTGAATCGGAATGCATGGATTCTGCTGCAAATCAACCTTCTGGATCTGCGCCTTTTGGGTCATGGTGTGAATCGGAACATAATTGTCCTTCAGATTTTACACCTCTCCAAATTATGCAGTATAGCCCTTGGCTTGAAAAAATGCACCGAAATGCATATTATAGGATCAAAAAAAGACATATGGGTGCATTGAGGTCTGATACATAGCTAATTATGTATTTTTTGACAAAATACGAATTCTCATGAGGATTTAACAAAAAAAAATGGTAGATTAATGCAGAGTGGGATTATTGTTATTATTATTGGCATGAGTGAATACATGCAAAACTGACACAGAGTGGAAATAGATTGACCCATCCTGCCCAGAAAGATGCCTCCAGTTATTTAATGCAGTAGGTTAAAAAAATTAAAAGCATTTAGTTTTTAATATACCGTAAGCTCTTATGAGACCTGCAGGTGTCAAGCGCCATCATGGAAGGCGTATTCCCTCCTACGAGAGAGAGAGAGAGAGAGAGAGAGAGGGAGAGAGAGAGAGAGAGAGAGAGAGAGAGAGAGAGAGAAGGGATGCCTTTCCCACCTTTGGCGTTGTTGGGTTTATTCCCCTCATATGTTAATATGTGCAGATTTAATTAAGATTCATACAGTCATTCAGCCAGGCTTCCTTTAACCAGGCAACAGCCCTGGTTAAAGTGAATAACAAATCTGTTTTGTGTTTTTCCCCAGGGGATGACTTTTCGTTGATACAGCAAGAGATCTACATGGTTAAGGAATGCAAGCATCCTAACATCGTAGCTTACTTTGGGAGCTATCTCAGGTAAGGCCTCCTGCACTCTGCTTTGTAGAGACGATTTGCTGTGCCAACTTCCTGCCAGGGACCTAAGGTTTTTCTGCACAAGCCCCAGGGAAGGTGGTGTTCCCTGCTGGTTTTTGAGCTTGCTATCTGCTGCAGGATACGGTGGTCCTACAATGTCAAATTCGATGAAACTTTGATGCTGGGGCTATGTAGAGCCGCTTTTTAAAGCTCTGGTGGGACGGAAGTGAAGTAGTTCTTCTCACCAAACCTGAAGCACCATATTTTCCAGTCTTCTGTAATTCTGCATTCTATTGGACGTGAATCTCTTGGGACATCCCTTATTCCTCAACAGATTTGATCCATTTCCCTGCGCTTGCATGTTTTGATATTCAGAAGTTTGCTGCATGCCCCCCCCCCAAGAAATCAAGGGTTGTGTTTTATGTGATACTTAAAAATCTGCAGAGTGGTTGGGACTTGTTGCTGTGGGTCTTGAACCTTTGATAGCTAACTGCATAAAAAATGGACCTCTGACCTCAGTTCCTGTCTGTGTAATGGGAATAATGGTGACAGTAAAGGTAAAGGTACCCCTGCCCGTACGGGCCAGTCTTGACAGACTCTAGGGTTGTGCGCCCATCTCACTCAAGAGGCCGGGGGCCAGCGCTGTCCGGAGACACTTCGGGTCACGTGGCCAGCGTGACATCGCTGCTCTGGCGAGCCAGAGCCAGCACACGGAACGCCGTTTACCTTCCCGCTGGTAAGCGGTCCCTATTTATCTACTTGCACCCGGGGGTGCTTTCGAACTGCTAGGTTGGCAGGCGCTGGGACCGAACAACGGGAGCGCTCCCCGCCGCGGGGATTCGAACCGCCGACCTTTCGATCGGCAAGCCCTAGGTGCTGAGGCTTTTACCCACAGCGGCACCTAATCACTACAAAGCGCCTGTCTGAGATGGGTAAGAATTATTAACTACCCTGAGCCTCAGGAACAGGATGGGCTATGAATAGCAATGCAATACAAATAAATGTTTTCTGATTCGTTATCAGCATCAGGCATTATTTCTGATAATTTCTTCTTAATTTCATAGCCGTGAGAAGCTGTGGATTTGTATGGAGTACTGCGGAGGAGGATCCCTTCAAGATATTTATCATGGTAAATGGCAGCCTTATTATTTTATACCATGCCCTTCCTTCAAGGGGTTGGGGTGGGATGCGCGATTCCTTTCTTCTCTTTAATTTGGGGCACGAATTACTGTAAAGTGCTGCAACCCAAAACCTGCTGCAACAAATGAGAAAGCCCTGTTGACTTCCATACTTTAGTAATGTGCTGCACGACGAAGGACATCCTTTTATCAGCCCCACACGGGTCAAGAGCATGCCACCACATCATGCCTCATCATATTATGTTTGATTTTCCTTTCAGTGACGGGGCCGCTGACGGAGTTTCAGATTGCATTTGTTTGCAGAGAGACGTTGAAGGTAAGGCACTGCTGGGCAGGTCTTGGGTGACTTTTGGCGTAAGAAGAACGAAGCTGTTTCAGTAGAACTGAAAAGTACCAAAGTACATGCAGGGGAGTACCAAAGTACATGCAGGGGAGCGGGAGAAGATCGCCAATAATAATCTTAGCTAATAAACTGCTCAGTTGTTGTTGTTTAGTCGTTTAGTCATGTCCGACTCTTCGTGACCCCATGGACCAGAGCACGCCAGGCACTCCTGTCTTCCACTGCCTCCCGCAGTTTGGTCAAACTCATGTTCTTAGCTTCATGTTCTAACTGTCCAACCATCTCGTCTTCTGTCGTCCCCTTCTCCTTGTGCCCTCCATCTTTCCCAACATCAGGGTGTTTTCCAGGGAGTCTTCTCTTCTCATGAGGTGGCCAAAGGATTGGAGCCTCAGCCTCAGGATCTGTCCTTCCAGTGAGCACTCAGGGCTGATTTCCTTCAGAATAGATAGGTTTGATCTTTTTGCAGTCCATGGGACTCTCCAGAGTCTCCTCCAGCACCATAATTCAAAAGCATCAATTCTTTGGCAATCAGCCTTCTTTATGGTCCAGCTCTCACTTCCATACATCACTACTGGGAAAAGCTTTAACTATACGGACCTTTGTCGGCAAGGTGATGTCTCTGCTTTTTAAGATGCTGTCTAGGTTTATCATCGCTTTTCTCCCAAGAAGCAGGGGTCTTTTCATTTTGTGGCTGCTGTCACCATCTGCAGTGATCATGGAGCCCAAGAAAGTAAAATCTTTACCGCCTCCATTTCTTACCCCTCTATTTGCCAGGAGGTGATGGGCCCAGTGGCCATGATCTTAGTTTTTTTGATGTTGAGCTTCAGACCATATTTTGCGCTCTCCTCTTTCACCCTCATTAAGAGGTTATTTAATTCCTCCTCACTGCTCAGGACAAATGGTTAAACACTGTAGTCTGGCTTTGGGATTTTTAGTTCACTACTCATATTTCAGCTGGCACTGTGGTCTAAACCACTGAGTCTCTTGGGGTTGCTGATCAGAAGGCAGGCGGTTCAAATCCCCGCGATGGGGTGAGCTCCTGTTGCTCTGTCCCAGCTCCTGCGAACCTAGCAGTTCGAAAGCACACCAGTGCAAGTAGATAAATAGGTACTGCTGCGGCAGGAAGGTAAACAGCATTTCCGTGCGCTCTGGTTTCTGTCATAGTGTTCCGTTGCGCCTGAAGCGGTTTAGTCCTACTGGCCACATGACCCAGAAAGCTGTCTGTGGACAAATGCTGGCTCCCTCGGCCTGAAATCAAGATGAGCGCCACAACCCCATAGTCACCTCTGACTGGACTTAACCGTTCAAGGGTCCTTTACCTTTACATTTTTACCTATATAGTGGAGATTGTTGCATATACATAGAATTAATAGAGGTTTCCTGTGTTCAAAGCACTTCAGGTGCTTTCTCTCAGGAATCTGCACAGCTATCTAATAAGGTAGGTGATCATTTCTTATTCCCACCTTGCAAGTGGAAGAGGATACCCAAAGGCAGCATTTTTCAAACATGGGGCTCCAGCTCCCATCATCCCTAGCTAGCAGGGCAACAGCTGGGGACCCAAGTTTGAGAAACACCGCCCTAAGGTCACTTAGGAAGTGGCCCATCTGCAATTTGAAGTGGAGACTCCGCAGGTCACGTGCTTTGCCACAATGCAGCCCCATCTGTTCACAGGAAGGGGTGTCCATTCTCTCTGTTAGCCACGTTATGGAGATGGTCTTTTATCCCACCCAAGCTGAGATTCTGTGGGTGTAAAAGGTTGATCTTTGAATATGCACTCAATTAGAGTCTAATTCAGCATTAAAAGAAGCCCTTCTAAGATGCGGTTTAAGGCTCTGTTCAGAACACTTTTTAACGAAAGTGTGATAGCTCAGTACTGAGACACCTGCACTAAAAATACCTTCACCCAGCAAATGTTTCTGATGTCGCACTCCTGGACCTCCTCTTCACAGCTCCGTTTTATTCTCTGTGGATGAGGCAGAGGACAAACTTGACATGAGCCAACAGTGTGACGCGGCAGCTAAAAAAGCCAATGCAATTCTGGGCTGCATCAATAGGAGTATAGCATCTAGATCAAGGGAAGTAATAGTGCCACTGTATTCTGCTCTGGTCAGACCTCACCTGGAGTACTGTGTCCAGTTCTGGGCACCACAGTTCAAGAAGGACGCTGACAAACTGGAACGTGTCCAGAGGAGGGCAACCAAAATGGTCAAAGGCCTGGAAACGATGCCTTATGAGGAACGGCTAAGGGAGCTGGGCATGTTTAGCCTGGAGAAGAGGAGGTTAAGGGGTGATATGATAGCCATGTTCAAATATATAAAAGGATGTCATATAGAGGAGGGAGAAAGGTTGTTTTCTGCTGCTCCAGAGAAGCAGACACGGAGCAATGGATCCAAACTACAAGAAAGAAGATTCCACCTAAACATTAGGAAGAACTTCCTGACAGTAAGAGCTGTTCGACAGTGGAATTTGCTGCCAAGGAGTGTGGTGGAGTCTCCTTCTTTGGAGGTCTTTAAGCAGAGGCTTGACAACCATATGTCAGGAGTGCTCTGATGGTGTTTCCTGCTTGGCAGGGGGTTGGACTCGATGGCCCTTGTGGTCTATTCCAACTCTATGATTCTATGATTCTAGGACCAGCACATGAGAGCTACTTTGCTGAACCACATAGGGGAACAGGGACCCCCCCCCCAAAATCATGAATCACAATGTCTCCTCCAGCTCTAGTGCTTTAGAGGAGCAAGGTCATGGACTGTAGAGTTGGAAGGGACCCTGAAGTTCATCTTATCCTGGGTTGTCCAACCGGTAGATCACCTGGGTGATCGTGGTCATTATGGTGCAAACAAAATCCCTGTATCCCGTCTCCAGCGCTGTCTCCCTCCTTCTGCTGCACTGCCATCCCCTCTTGCCAGCCCCCCCAAAAGCTCAACAACTGTGGCCAACCCCCCCCAAAACCGCACCCCCCTCCCTTCCTCCAATGACGGTGGGTAGATCACTGACAGTTATTTTATACTTTGAGTAGATCACAGTCTCTTGGGAGTTGGACGTTCCTGATCTAATCTAACCCCCTGCAATGCAGCAATCTTTCACGCAACGTGGGACTCGAACGCACAACCCTGAGATTAAAGAGTCTCGTGCTCTACCAACTGAGCTATCCTTCAGACAATAATAACACAAATAAAGCATAATAATGTGTTTGCATAAGGATTTATTAAAAACATTTTGCATGCATTATCTCAGCAATTCTTTTATAGTGAGGGCAGGTGAATGGGGCTCAGGCAGCAGCCCGTCGTCTCATGGGGGAATTGGTACTGGTCATTCTGGCCTTTGATTTCTTAGGCCATCTTAGAGTTCCATACTCATCTTTGCTGTTGCTGCTTTCTTTTTTAGGGGCTCGATTATTTACACAAGAAAGGCAAAATGCACCGGGATATTAAGGTAGGCCATTCCTGAATGGAGCTCTTTCTCCGTTAAAGAAATGGGGGGGTGTTGGTGAGTGACTGTAAACTTAAGGTTTTATTTTTATTTTTCAGGGTGCAAATATTCTGCTGACAGACCATGGGGACATCAAGCTGGGTAAGTTTGCTTCCTCTCCTTGACTTCCTTGAGAGAGAGTAAAAACATGTGTAACATTTGCAGAGCAGCGGAGACTGTCTTGAAGGCATCTTTGCTTCAGGCAGTGCAAATGTACCTTCTCTTCTTGAGATTATGCTCTGCATGCCATAGAAGTCAGATGTGGGTGGGACTGATTGGCTAGCTCCTGTGCCATCTCCAACCCCTAAAGCAATTGTGCAGGTTTTTTAAAATTCCATTTTAATTCAACCTCCAGTTTCACCCACCCATCTGCCCCTTCCAGTTTGGGTGGGAGCTTGGGAGGCAAGGAGTGAGGCCCCTGTGGCTGTCACTATTTGGCACACATGCCTCTCTTCACCCTCCCCAACCCCTCCCAAGAGGGCCTGCTTACAGGCTTTTCCTTGGTCTGCGTGAAAATGAATGCCAGCTTCTAGAAAACATCTTCCACTCTTTCTCCCGCAGCTGACTTTGGCGTCGCGGCGAAAATAACGGCCACCATCGCAAAGAGGAAGTCGTTCATCGGCACTCCTTACTGGTAATAAATTCCTTGGGATTATTCAAACAAGGGCCTGGGATTCTGAGCCAGGGTTTCTGGACTGTGCTATGAGGATGCAGAAAGATGAGTTGAGGATGCAGTGAGTTGGCAGAAACAGACTCAAAGCTATTGAGCTCTCTTCTGACTTTGTAGGCTGGGCATCCCTCTGAGAATCACCTCTTCCACTGCTGCTGAATACCTTCTGCCAATTCACTTGAAGGCAGAGGTTGGGGACCAGATACAGCCCTCTAGTCCTCTGTTATGCCCTTGAGACCATTCCCAGTGCCTTTCCAAGCTGGAATCAATCTTTGAACTATGGGAATGCTGCTTGCTTGACAGGATGGAGGTGTCTGTGTCTGTGTAGCATGGCTGGAGTGTGACCTTAACAGTTGCATCCGTTGCTCTGTCTACTCTTGCATCTGGCCCCATTCACAACTGGCATGTGACACCCCCCCCCAAAAAAAAGTTGTCCATGAGGGAATGTGACCCTGAAAAAGGTGTCCCACCTCTGCTTTAACAGCCCATACAAGGTGTCTACACAGGTGAGACAGAAGCACACAGATCTCAGCTGCCACAACTTTCAGAAATTGGAAGGTGACTATATATGCACACCTTGGGTTCCTGATTTACATCCTACACTGTTCACAGGAATAGGCAGCTTTTGTCAGCCAAGGAAGCAACCTTTGGATAAACATGGAAGTAGCACAGATGAGCAACTTGTGAAATGCAGGTTGTTATGTGCAGCTCACTCTTTTTTTAAAAAAGTGTTAATAATATCCTGCCTTTACTTTGTTCGTTCTGCAAAAGGTAACTTCCTAGTCCTTATGGTGGCAGAAGCAAGGCTGAATTTGCAAGTGTGCCCTCAATAAAATAAAAAACAATCTGATCTTGCGGTTGGTTGTGCACAAATTGAGGATGGGTGCACCAGGTCTTTCAGCTGGGCTAATGGTCAAGTCTTCCTTGAAGGAATTGTTCCGAGAAGTGGCTCAGCATTCTCAGAACTGCAGTCCCCGAAATCCCTCAAGGGAACCACCAACAGCTCAATCAGTATAGCTTAACGTTGCTGGCTTACCTAAAGCTCCACAAACCCGGTGGGGTATGTGGGATCCCCTCCCCGCTCCACCCTAGTACTCCTTGAGGTCCACCAGCTGGAGCCAGGCGTAAATAAGTGATTTACAAAGAAGGTCAGACATACACTGAGAATTAAGGAAGTGGTAGGAGTTGCTTATTACTATCATTATCATTATCGTTATTTTATTTATTTTATTTATACTCTGCCTATCTGGCTGGGTTGCCCCAGCCACTTTGAGCGGCTGTTGTTAAACAATTCAGAGACAAAAAAAGCCGGGTGATCTATTGCAAAAGAGATCCACAAAGCACTCCCTGTCTGCCTTCTGCCCGCACCGCAATCAGCCTCCTCCTTTTGCTGTCTCTCCCAAGTCTGCAGGACCAGGCGGCATGTCTGGCACCTGGTAGAGAGCAGCATATTTCTGCCAGGCTCCAGTTCTCCAGTCTTCTTTGTCTAGCCCTTAGGACGCTCCCCAGGCCTGCCTCCTCAGGCTACCCTACTCTTTCCAGGGTATGTGCCCATATTGCTTCTCCTTAAAAAGCTAAAGGGACCCCTGACCATTAGGTCCAGTCATGACCGACTCTGGGGTTGCAGTGCTCATCTCGCTTTATTGGCCGAGGGAGCCGGCGTATAGCTTCCGGGTCATGTGGCCAGCAGGACCAAGCCGCTTCTGGCGAACCAGATCAGCTCATGGAAACACAGTTTACCTTCCTGCCGGAGCGGTACCTATTTATCTACTTGCACTGGTATGCTTTCGAACTGCTAGGTTGGCAGCAGCTGGGACTGAGCAACAGGAGCTCACCCCTTTGTGGGGATTCGAATTGCCGACCTTCTGATCGGCAAGTCCTAGGCTCTGTGGTTTAACCCACAGCGCCACCCGCATCCCTTGCTTCTCCTTAAGGGACTGCAATAATACCTCTTGCTTGCTTGGGGGGTGGGAGGTATGTGTGAGAGTATGTGTTTCTGTAGAAACCTCTACATCCAGCATCCAGCAGCCCACCTGCTTTACAAACACAATTACCTTTATTGGCATTATGAGTTAAAACATTTGAAAACACTAGGATAAATTTAAAAGGGACAGGGGTGAGGCTGTTGAGGATCATAAGGTACTCGATTGTTCTGCTTCACCCTGTCTATTCCCTAGAGAGGGATGATTAATTAAGAACCCTTTCGGGTAAGAGGCTTTATGCCTCTGGATCTGCCTACCCCTGGCATGCAGCCTCCAGAAGGTTGCCCACGAGAAGATGTGGCCCTGGGGCTGCGAAAGGCTCCCCACGCCTGGGCTGCAAGCACAGGAGGGGCATTTGGGTTCATTCAAAACCACCAAGGGGAGGTGGGGGAGGTCTTGGCTCTTCCTGCCGCCTGACAGCGTTTTTGTCTCCCCCACGAAGGATGGCTCCGGAAGTTGCAGCTGTAGAAAAGAACGGCGGCTACAACCAGCTGTGCGACATCTGGGCGGTGGGCATCACGGCCATCGAGCTTGGAGAGCTGCAGCCGCCCATGTTTGATCTTCATCCAATGAGGTCTGTGGACAGGAAGGGCTCCTCTCCTCGCACTCTCCCTGGCCCTGAAGCAGACGAGTGTTAAAAAGAACTCTAGTGTCTGAGAGCTGGAAGCCGTAAAGGTCATTTGTTCCAACCCCCTTGCCAAGGCAGGGAACCCAACACTCCAGTATCCTTGGGGGGTGGTTCTCCCTCCTGCCCCTGCTACAGAACCTTTGGCTGGAGAAAGAGGAGAACCTTCCCCCTAGAATAATATTAGCGCTCTGTAATTTGCTTTTACTGACCTATGGTCCTCCCCCACAAAAAAATACCTAGTTCTTTAATTGACAGTTAACACAGTTGGTGTTATTTTTAGATTTTCTATGTTGGTATTTTTTAATTGGTATGGAAATGTGCAAGCATCATCAAAAGAGGAAACAGGTTCACAACACTTCAGTCTTTTGCAAATGCAACATTTATAATATCGACATTTTTAGATGGTTGCTGATACCGTGTTTGCACGATACTGTGAGCTTCCTTGAGTGGGCTGTGCCCCGAAAGGCAGCTCACAGATAAATGAATCAAGCCTCACCTTCCTGCCTGTTCCACTATCAATTCAGTGTGTGCAATCAGGAAGTTCTTCCTAATCTTTAGGGGTGTTGTGGACTGCAAATCCCATCATCCCCAGCCAGCAGAGCCAAGGGTCAGGAAAGATGGGAATTGTAGTCCAAACCATCTGGCAGGCATCTCTTGGTCTACTCCAGTCAAAACCAGTTTTCTTCCCTTACAAATCCTTTCCTTCAGGTAGGTAGCCATGTTGGTCTGACACAGTCGAAATAGATAGATAGATAGATAGATAGATAGATAGATAGATAGATAGTCCAGTTGCACCTTAGAGACCAACTAAGTTTGTTCTGGGTATAAGCTTTCGTGTGCATGCATGGTATCTGAAGAAGTGTGCATGCACACAAAAGCTTATACCCAGAACAAACTTAAGGTGCTACTGGACAATTTTTTAATTTATTTTGAATCCTTTCCTTGTACAGCTGTGTTCTGCACTTCTGACGGAGTGGTTTCCTTGTATTTCAGAGCCTTGTTCCTAATGTCCAAAAGCAACTTTCAGCCTCCAAAGCTAAAGGAAAAAACAAAATGGTAAGCCTGGGAGTGCCTTTTTCATTTTTTTTCTTCCAGTGGTCTCGCCCTTGATGGTTTGTGTCTAGTTCCTTTCCATACCAATAGGGGTGCCCTTTGGCTGGTGATGGTGACCCCTGAAGGTGGCTGAAAGAGATGCTTAGAATATTCCATCACATACCCCCCCCAAAAGTGGGCTTAAGGGATGGGTATGGGGAGCAGAAAGAGTTTGACTAGCTGATATTGACTGGCAGCCCCTCAAATCGCCCCTCCCTCCACTCTAGTCATGGGGCAGTACAATCCTTTGATGGTTGCCTTTCTTTTTAACCGGGACCCGGGTGGCGCTGTGGGTTAAACCACAGAGCCTAGGACTTGCCGATCAGAAGGTCGGCGGTTCGAATCCCCGCGACAGGGTGAGCTCCCGTTGCTCGGTCCCTGCTCCTGCCAACCTAGCAGTTCGAAAGCATGTCAAAGTGCAAGTAGATAAATAGGTACCGCTCCAGCGGGAAGGTAAACGGCGTTTCCGTGCACTGCTCTGGTTCGCCAGAAGCGGCTTAGTCAAGCTGGCCACATGACCCGGAAGCTGTATGGCGGCTCCCTCGGCCAGTAAAGCGAGATGAGCGCTGCAACCCCAGAGTCGGCCACGACTGGACCTAATGGTCAGGGGTCCCTTTACCTTTACTTTCTTTTTAACCAAAAGGCTCCTCACAGGATCACTTTGGACACCCATCTCCTGCAGTTCTTTTAGGGTACGTGCAAAAGTCGCTTCAGGCTGGGCATACCCACTTTTGCTTTGTGCCTGACCAGGCAGAGGGATAGGTAAGAGTGGAAGTATTCTCAGTTGACCGTGTCCTGTCCTCCAGCGTACGGCTGGAGGTGCGATTAAGGGGTGAGGGAAAGGGTTTTAGGCCACAAGTTTCTGCTTTCTCGCAGGTCTCCCTCTGCCTCTGCTCAGTCTGTTTTTAAGAAGTGATATTTCTCTAGAATAAGGACAAAAGCAATTTCTGAAGTTAGGTTACCTTTCCCTCTGGGAGGTTGGTTTGCCCGACATTTCATTTGCCTCCCCCTTATGTCAGTTGCGGTATCGTCACACTGTGTTGCCTCCCCTCGTTGCCTGCATGTGTTTTTCTAATAGGCTACAGTTCAGTTGTGTTAGCCATATTTTCCAGCACCCAGACAGTCAAACCACATTCTTTTGCTACAGATGTTTTTGCCGTTTGCACAACAGTTGCACTGGCCTTCTGTTCTTCCCTTCCCCTTTTTGGCAAAAAATGCAGTTAAAAAAAACCAAAAACCCAGACAGTTGGGGTGGGGTGGGGTGGGGGGAACAACTTGAACTTTTTTCTTAATTCTGCAGCACTACAAGGGCCAATGCAGATGGAAGGGGAATGCATAAGACTTAAGAAGAGCTCTGAGGTTGGGTCCGACCAAAGGCCCATGCAGTCATAGAATCATCTAGCCCTACCCCATGCAATGCAGAAATCACAGCTCAAGAATCCCTGCATCTAGCCTATGCTTTAAAAACCTCCAAGGAAGGAGAGTCCCCCCCCCCACTCCCGAAGGAGTCCATTCCACTATCGAACAGTACTTGCCATCAGAAAGTTCTTCCTAATGTTTACCGCATTTTTCGCTCTATAAGACACACTTTTCCCCTCCTAAAAAGTAAGGGGAAATGTTTGTGCATCTTATGGAGCGAATGCAGGCGGGAGGCTCTGCTCAGCGCTCCCTTTAAAGAGCACCGTGGAGCGTGTGTGTGGCTCTTGGGGACTTTTGGGGGAGCCTTTCTCCCGCTGCCCTGAAGAGGTCCCATAAGCCAGCAGCGATCCCTCTTGCTGTCCTGGCTTCTGGCAGCCTCTTCCGGGCAGGGGGAGCCTTCATCCTGCTGCCCTGAAGAGGCTTCGTGCGGCTATCCCAGAAGCCAGAATAGCAAGAGGCTATCCCAGAAGCCAGATCCCTCTTGCTGTTCTGGCTTCTGGGATTCAGAATATTTTTTTTTTCTTGTTTTCCTCCTCCAAAAATTAGGTGCGTCTTATGGTCTGGGGCGTCTTATAGAGCAAAAAATATGGTAGTTGGAATATCCTTTATTGTAATTTGAATCCATTGGTTTCTGCCTTGCCCTCTGGAGCAGGAGAAAACCAGCATGCTCCATCTTCCCTTTGACAGCAGTTTGGATAGCTCAACATTTGCTATGTTGAATTCCATCCTCTATTTCAGATAGAGATGATATAATTCCTATCTTTTGCACTTGCCCCCTAATGATCAGTCAACCTCTAATAACTGGAATTAAAAAGAGTAGAATCATAGAATCATAGAGTTGGAATAGACCACAAGGGCCATCGAGTCCAACCCCCTGCCAAGCAGGAAACACCATCAGAGCACTCCTGACATATGGTTGTCAAGCCTCTGCTTAAAGACCTCCAAAGGAGGAGACTCCACCACACTCCTTGGCAGCAAATTCCACTGTTGAACAGCTCTTACTGTCAGGAAGTTCTTCCTAATGTTTAGGTGGAATCTTCTTTCTTGTAGTTTGGATCCATTGCTCCGTGTCCGCTTCTCTGGAGCAGCAGAAAACAACCTTTCTCCCTCCTCTATATGACATCCTTTTATATATTTGAACATGGCTATCATATCACCCCTTAACCTCCTCTTCTCCAGGCTAAACATGCCCAGCTCCCTTAGCCGTTCCTCATAAGGCATCGATTCCAGGCCTTTGACCATTTTGGTTGCCCTCCTCTGGACACGTTCCAGTTTGTCAGTGTCCTTCTTGAACTGTGGTGCCCAGAACTGGACACAGTACTCCAGGTGAGGTCTGACCAGAGCAGAATACAGTGGCACTATTACTTCCCTTGATCTAGATGCTATACTCCTATTGATGCAGCCCAGAATTGCATTGGCTTTTTTAGCTGCCGCATCACACTGTTGGCTCATGTCAAGTTTGTGGTCAACCAAGACTCCTAGATCCTTTTCACATGTACTGCTCTCAAGCCAGGTGTCCCCCATCTTGTATTTGTGCCTCTCATTTTTTTTTGCCCAAGTGCAATACTTTACATTTCTCCCTGTTAAAGTTCATCTTGTTTGTTTTGGCCCAGTTCTCTAATCTGTCAAGGTCGTTTTAAAGTGTGATCCTGTCCTCTGGGGTGTTAGCCACCCCTCCCAGTTTGGTGTCATCTGCAAATTTGAGTACAGCTATGAGTTATCCATGGACCTTTTCCCGATTCCTCTTAAGCTACGTAAAGGAGATAATACTTCCAGATGATGGTTGAAACAGTACCTTCAAAGGCAGCCCCACGTAGAGCGCATCGCAGCAGTCCAAGCACGAGATAGCTAGAGCATGCACCACTCTGGCAAGACAGTCCCCGGGCAGGGAGGGTCTCAGCCGGCGTACCAGATGGAGCAATGCAGGAATGGTCTGTAGATGAAGGCCAGCGTACAAATTCAATAAATAATAATAATTCAGAAATTGGGATCCTTCATACATTATACCGGCCTTTCTGAACCTGATTCCTTCCAGATGTTCTGAACTACAAGCCCCAGCTAGCATTGCCAGTTTGTCAAGGATGATGGGGGTTGTAGTCTAGAGCATCTGGACAATGCCAGGTTCGGGAAGGCTGCATTTATAGGAATGGTGAAGTACAAGATGCAGCGCAGACACTGTTGCTGTTTCCGTTGAACTTTGCTTAAGAATGCTTAGTTTATTTTATTGTTGACTTTCCTTTGAATATATGTTTATTTGTGTCATTTATATTTTGTATTTTTATTATATTCATTTTCTTATTGTGCAATGGTTGCCCATTATAAAAAAAACTTTGATAATACAGAATCGGAACATCTTTTAATCACCAAGCAAGACCCATCACATATGATAAAAGCTGTGTTTTCTCTCTCTTTCTCTCTTTTAGGTCACCGACATTTCACAGTTTTGTGAAAGTAGCACTTACAAAAAACCCAAAGAAGAGGCCCGCGGCTGATAAACTTCTTACTGTAAGCCTGTTTTCTTTCTTTTTTGGAAGATGAGAGTAAAATCTCATCCCCACTAGTGGAGTAAATGTTCTGGCTTTCAGGGTACACTCCAAAGGCCTTGCATACTTCTTTTTTAAATGCTGTCATGCGTGATGAATATCGAAAACTTTCCAGGCATGTAAAAAGCTTCTTGTTTTTACCAAAAAACCCAAACGCCTCTGTGTTAAGATTGTGCTGAGATAATTCCCTCCGCTACTAGATGAATCGCGTTTTTTAAGTGTCTTAAAGACTTTAAGCAAACAGACAGACAGACAGACACTAAAATTCCCCAAATTGACCTCTAGTGCAGAGGCTGTCAGAAAAGTGAAGAATTGGGAGATTTTGCCTTGTTTGGATGGAAGGCTAAACCATGTTGCATGCCCTGGACCATCGCTTCTTAATCTTCTGTTGCACTGCAGGCTGCTGTTCCGGTTGGCATGTGTTTTGGGGACATTTTCTTGCCTTACAGTTGCCACACGGAGATAGTGCTTGAAAGCCTTTTGATATAAAGCTCAGCCTCCTGTGTTTGGTCTCTGCGGTGCTCACAATCCATGCAGGGGAGAAGCTGCAGTGGCAACCTCAGATTTCCACGCACATGGGAAGAGAAACCTTTCTTTGGGGCCTGACTCTGCAGCAAGTCTTGCAGTGCTGAAGAAGCCAGCTGCCTTTTCATTTAAGTTGTAACACACAAATTTCAGCATGCCTTAGACATCTTGAAGAAGCCACATGTGATTGCTCCATTTGTTTATTTTTAATTAAGTTAGTTAGTTGCTTTCTCTTGCTCAAGGCAACTCTCCGAGCAACTTACAAAGAAACAAAAAGCCCAAATAGAAACATTAAAACAAAGGTGTAAAATACACTAAAAACATAATAATTTTATTATTAGAACTAAAGAGGAGCCACTTCATGGCTAATAATAATAATATGTTTTTATTTGTATCCCGCCCTCCCTGGCCAAAGCCGGGCTCAGAGCAGCTAACAACAAGTAAAAATAGCACAGTGTACATAAAATCACACAGTCAATTAATTAAAATACATTCTAAAATCATTCTAAGAAAGGGCGGCCAGGGATGTCTATAAAACATTGTAAAAAGCTTAACCACAGTCATGAAATCAGCACGTACCTCACACTTCTGGTATATTCTCTCAAAGAATAACTAGGCATAATGTTTATTATTATTATTATTATTATTATACATTTATATACTGCCTTTTCTTCTAAGGAGTTCAAGGTGGTGTGTGTGGTTCTCCTCCTCCCCATTTCATCCTCACAACCCTGTGGGGCTGGTTGGGCTGAGAGATGTCAACTGGCTCAAGGTCACCCAGTGGGCTGAGTGGCAAGATTCGAACCCTGGTCTCCCAGATCAGAGCCCATCACTCTAACCCCTACACCCCACTGGCTCTCCTAAACACCCGAGGCGCAGCCTGGGGAAAGTTCCTGTTCGCATGGGCAGCTAGCAGACGAAGGATCATAGCTACGTGGTAGGGTTTGGTTTCTGTGCAGAAAGTCCCTGGTTCACTCCCCAATTTCTCCAGGGAGCTGAAGACCCTCTGCTAGCCGGTGCAGACCAGCGCTTGCCAAACTGGTGCCCACCGCAGCTGTGCTGGCGAGGCCTGATGGGAGCCATGGTCCATCTGGAGGCCACCCCGGTAGCATTGGTATAGGCTGGTTTGAACTGGTCAAGGCTGGTTTGTGCTTGTCCAAACCGGTTTGAACAGGTCTAGGTTTGTTTGAATTGGCACAAGCCAGTTTGAACAGTTCCAGACAGCTTCGAGCAGGTCCAGGCCGGTTGGATCAGGTGCAGGTCATTTGAAACTGGACCAAGCTGGTTAGAACGGGTCCAGGGTGGTAGGAACAGGTCTATGTCGCTTGGATCCAGCCCAGGCTGGCATGGACAGGCAAGTCCTGAACTCGCCCTCTCATTATTTTTTAGCATACCTTTGTTGGGCAGCCCGGTCTCTCTCGGTCGCTGGCCGTCGAACTGTTGGACAAAGTGAACAATCCCGACAACCACCCTCATTACGCCGAGGCGGATGATGACGATTTTGAGGTGAGCGAGTCCCTCCTCTGGGCAGTTCCCTCGCCTTTAGGCCTCATTCTCCCTTGGAACTGGCGAGCCTGGGAGTCCTGCATAGGTCTTCATTGTGGGGAGCTTATACGAGGGAATGCTCCCTCCGTGGGGGGAAAAATCCCTTTGCAACTATGAACATGCAGCCATACCGTTATGTGGGGCACCCCATTTCCCTTTGGTGGTTGATGAAGCCGTGCATGTGTCACAACCTCTGATGTCTCCCTTTCTGACTCCTGCAGCCGCACCCAGTTATTCGCCACACCATTCGCTCTACCAACCGGAATGTCAGAGCAGAGAGGACGGCGTCTGAAATCAATTGTGAGCTTCTCCTCTATTTTATTTTATTTTATTTTATTTTATTTTATTTATTAGCAAAAGCATACATCTATACATACACTGAATAAGACATAACGGGGGGAAACAGACACAAAAACAAAGGACAAAACAAAAACATTCATTAAAAATCAATAGAAACTAACCTTGCAGTATTTGTTCTTAGACTGATTTTGGTCTTTACTTATACATTCTAATATTGTCTGAAAATCTAAGATTTATTTACTAATATAGTTATATCATGCGAAAACAAAAATTAAGAAAAAAGAAAGAAAGAACGACTAAGTTGACGTAACAGCTTTAACAATAAAAATACCTATGTATTGATAAGTAATACCTTTTCATTTTGTTATATTATTGACTTCCTTCTACCTCGTTATGGTTTCTGTTTGACCATTCCTGTTTTTACCCTGTATTTAATTGTTTCATCTTCATTTTGGAGTGAAGAGAAAATATTTTACTTCACTTCTCCTCAATTTTAAAGCGAAACGTCTGCCTCCTAATTTAGCATCAGCTTAAGTGTTCATTATTACTCCGGTGTGTGTGTGTGTGTGTGTGTGTGGTGATGATGATGATGATGATGATGATGATAAGGATGATTTACTAGTCTCAATAATCCATCTGTTGCCAAAAAGGTCTCCAAGAGACTTAGATTTAAAAACTGCCTATCTCCTTCTATGCAAATAGTAGTCTGGGATAAGATCTTGCATTATTCGGTTATATTGCCTGAACACCGGCTGCAAGGTTTGAGTGGGATAGTTGATTCTTTATCTGTTTGAAATAATTTGTAAGTGTGTGTGTGTGTGTGTGTGTGTGTGTGTAGCTATAGACATAGATTCATTCATATGTTTTTAAAATTATATTTTAATCAACTTGTTTTTCTTATTGGTTGTTAGCCGCCCTGAGCCCGGTCTTGGCTGGGGAGGGCAGGGTATAAATAAAATGTATTATTATTTTATAAAATATTTCCAACACCTACAATTCTTTTATACAGCGGACGCTCGGGTTGCGAACGTGATCCGTGTGGGATGCACGTTCACAACCTGCAGCATTCGCAACCCGCGTCTGCGCAGACGCGGGTTGCGATTCGGCGCTTCTGTGCATGTGCGACCGCCGAAACCCGGAAGTAACCCATTCCGGTACTTCCAAGTTTCGGGGGTCCGCAACCCGAAAAAACACAACCTGGAGTGTTTGTAACCTGAGGTATGACTGTATATGAATGCACACACAAGCACACAGTCTTAGGAAGCTTTGGCAGCACAGTAATAGCAGAACAATACCAGCTCTGTCCGTCAAAGGCCTGGCAGGAAAGGTAAATCTCCCCCTGGTGTGAAAAGGATGCCAGCGAAACCACCAGGTGGTCCTCACTGGAGGAGAGCATTCCACAGATGGGGATCCAGAAATGGAAAGGATGGAGCAAAGTTCTCTGAACTTCTTCATTGGCCCAAGAGACCCTTCTAGGCAGGCTGCTCCCTGGGTTGCTCATGAAGTCGTAGCTGTGTGCAAAAAAATGCTAGCTCTGCCTCCTGACCTGTGCGCTGCTCTCCTCAAAATCACTTGGCAACGTGTGGTTGATCCGTGTTATTGCCTCACCTTAAAATGGATTGATTGGTTGATTAAAAAATAAATTTATATTCTGCTAAATCATAAAAATATATCAATGCCCATTACAACATTAAAAAGATAAAGGTAAAAGGTACCCCTGCCCGTACGGGCCAGTCTTGCCAGACTCTAGGGTTGTGCGCTCATCTCACTCTAGAGGCCGGGGGCCAGCGCTGTCCGCAGACACTTCCGGGTCACGTGGCCAGCGTGACAAGCTGCATCTGGCGAGCCAGCGCAGCACACGGAACGCCGTTTACCTTCCCGCTGGTAAGCGGTCCCTATTTATCTACTTGCACCTGGGGGTGCTTTCGAACTGCTAGGTTGGCAGACGCTGGGACCGAACGACGGGAGCGCACCCCGCCGCGGGGATTTGAACCGCCGACCATGCGATCGGCAAGTCCTAGGCGCTGAGGTTTTACCCACAGTGCCACCCGCGTCCCTGATAAATTATTAAGATAAAAAGATAAAAACCATAAAATAAAAGTGTAAAAAAAAACCCCAAATCAACCCAAAAACAATTTAATAGCAAAAAAGAAAAGAAAAAACTTTCAGATGGCAGGAGATTCCTTCCCCTCTGCTTTTGGGCCAGGTGCCCACAATCTCAATTGTTTTATTTTAGTCTCCAAAAGAAATTGGTCGAGGATCCTACCATGGTTAAAATCCTCTTTACGTTGCTTCTTCGCCTTCTTGCCTAACGTCTCTTCAAAGCATGCCGTTCCAGATGAGAGTTGGTAGTTGATATTCCTTCAAGCAGACACACTCCGTGCTAGTTTCATTTTTGCCGGGGGGTAGTTCTTGGAATCGCAGCCCCTCATAAAGAGTAGCGTTTCAGAAGAGAGTGTTTCAAACCGAAAACAAACCCCTCCACCTTTTCAGGCATGTTAAGAGGAAGTACTCTTTAATTGTCCGGTAATAAAACTTTTTAATAGGATCTTCTAAGCCACTTTTGAGTCCCTGTCAGGGAAGAAGGTGGGGTATAATTAAATATATCGTCATCATCTAAGTGGCTTATATTAATAAATTTGAACATTTTTGCTATGCCGGGGGACATTGCAGTTGGGAAAAAAAGCCTTGTAAAAGTTTTGTTTATAAAGTTGTAAATGTCTCATGTCTTTCAGTTGACAAGCTGCAGTTTGAACCGCCTCTAAGGAAAGAAACAGAAGCGCGAGATGAAGTGGTACGGATTTGTTTTATTTTTATTTTTTATTTAGTATTTATTTATACCACTTCATATCTCTACAGAAATCTCTAGATGAGTTCACCACAAGCTACATGCCACACACATCCCCCAGGGGTTTGCTGAACGCAGATTGGGATCTACAAGCCACACATCCCCCAGGGGTTTGCTGAACGCAGATTGGGATCTACTGGTGATTATGCAGTAGATTGGCAAAGGGTTTCTGGCTCCCAGTTTTAAGAAGAGCAACAGCAAAGGAGCTTTTCCCACCTGTGCTAAGCTGATGAGATGGAAAAGTTGATCAGGAGTGGCCATCTGCGTGCAATAACTGGGAGCTTACTTCAGTTTCAGTACTGCTCAGAATGAACTCAGAGGCACTCTTGTTCTTTAATTCTAGTTGTACAGTGGTACCTCACAAGACGAATGCCTTGCAAGACAAAAAACTCGCTAGACGAAAGGGTTTTTTGTTTTTTGAGTTGCTTCGCAAGACGATTTTCCCTATGGGCTTGCTTCGCAAGACGGAAACGTCTTGCAAGTTTGTTTCCTTTTTCTTAACACCGTTAATACAGTTGCGACTTGACTTCGAGGAGCAACTCATAGAACACGGTGTGGTAGCCTTTTTTGAGGTTTTTAAAGACTTGGTGATTTTTGAAGCTTTTCCAAAACTTTCCCGACACCGTGCTTCGCAAGACGAAAAAAATCGCAAGACGACAAAACTCGCGGAACGAATTAATTTCGTCTTGCGAAGCACCACTGTATGTCGTTTGTACTTGGCTCTGACTGGCAGATTTTGGGATTCTAGTTCAAAAAATAAAACAAATGTAAATCTAGCCAGTCTGAAGTCTGCCCACCCCGATGTATCGTGTTGAACAGTCTTGGTAGATCACAGAATAAATTAATGCCAGTTTGCCCAAAGTGTCCCGTGAAGTGGAGGGTCTTGCTTAGCTCCCATGGTTGTGTCTGCGCTCCAGTTGAAGCAGGTGGGCGTCCTGCACTTCAAAAGGTTAATAACCCCTCCATTTCTATCACCACCCCTGCCACCCCGACCACCTACCAGAAGCTTCCAGGCCTCTCCCTCCACATTGGGCTGGACACCTGCACAGGTCTTCTCATTCACCTCCTGTGCTGGAGCTGATACTGGCTTTCAAAGGCCAGATGCATATTTCAGTGTAAATAAGTATAAAAATAATGAAGATTTCAGGGCTCCTAGTTCAAGGTGACACCAATGATACGATACAATAATCTTTATTGTCACTGTCCCATACAGAACAACGAAATTGAAAAAATCTACATCAGACCTTCAAAACCCAACAAGCCTGCTAACCCATCTATCCCAGCCTGGTTAACCCCCTAAAAACTCTGTAACCCCATAATTAAATACAATATACTCCCACAGAGACTACCTTACACTGCGTTTAAAGCCAAAATCACATTTGGATAGAAACTGTTTCTCAGGCGGCTAGTCCTAGTCTTTATAACCCTATACCTTCTTCCAGAAGGCAGAAGCTGAAAGTGATCATTTCCGAGGTGCGCACTATCCTGCGCTATCTCTGCAGCTTTCTTATGGCACCTGGAAGCATAGATTTGATCCAAGGTGGGAAGAGGGCACCCAATTATTCTCTCTGCAGTCTTTACAACCCTGTTTTCCCCCTGACCATGCAGCTCCCAAACCACACACACAGACCATAACTTAATACACTCTCAACAGTACAGTGGTAAAATGCCATCAACAGGTCCTTTGAGAGATTATTTTTCCGGAGGATTCTCAGAAAATATAACCTCTGTTGTGCTCTCTTCATCAGGTCTTTACTGTTTTTGAGGCTACTGTTGATAGCCTCAAGCCCACCCGTGGCCTTTGGCCATGCGACGGTTGAGGCCTGGCATTGGGCTGGTCCCCAGTCTGTGCCACCCCTTTCCTCGTGTACATTTCCCAGACCAGAAGCAGAACCAAGCAGATCCAGAAAACTCTACGCCTGAAGCAGAGCCGGGGAATAGGGCCTGAATGTGGATTGTATAATAGTGGGGTGCCCTCGTTAGATGTTAGCTGGAGACATTGCTCAACTGAACGTTTTCCCCTCTGCAGGTGGTGGCAGGTGGCGCACACTTCGCTTCGCACTGGAATCCTTTTGTTGATGGCGGAAGCTGCGCCAAGTAAGTATGCCTGGCTTCGTTGTGAATAAATGACCAATACTCTGCATTTCAAGGTTACCACCCGCTTGGGAGGGAAAAGGAACCGGATGATCTGGGCAAGTCAGGCTTTTGAGTGAGTTCTGCAGGACAGACAGGGCCTTTTAAAAAAATAAAAATAAAAAATACGTTTTTACTGAGGGATTTTCCTTAAGTAACAAAAGTACCTTTCGTGTATCTGTTTTTAAATCGTAGAATCCTTCATACAAATCCATTGCAGTCAGTTTGAGACATTTTTGTTGCAGGTAATGTGGGGGTGAGGGGGAAAGAGAGGAGAGAGAATAAAGAGTGTATGGATGGAGTTTCTTTGTCAGCATCATGTGGATAGGTGTCCTATTTTTGCTGGTGGAGCAAGAGGTCAGCGGGACCAGGGTGTGGTTGGTTGCAGCTGATTGATTGCAGTGTGTTGTGTGTTGTTGTTGTTGTTGTTTTTTTGGGGGGGGGGAATTGCTGGAATAGGTTAGCCATATTGATTTGTATGTTGTTGGGGGGATCGGTCATTGTCTTGTTGGGCTGTGTATGTGAGAAAGGGGAGCCACACGGGGGTGAAGGCATCCTCCTTTGTCCCCGTGATAGTTTCAGTCAGTTAGTTAGTTAGTTAGTGAGTCAGGGCAGTTTCCTGTAGAGTTTGGTACCAGTGGTCCATATCTGGTTATGATGCTCCTAGCTGCTCAGAGTAAGTGACATTCATTCTTTATCAGATAGAAACTTTATTCGCGTTAGCCAATGGCCATAGCAACAATAAAACATTACAATATACACAGAAGAAAGGAAATTTAGTATAAAAGCACAGTTTAGGGTGCTGAATCAGCCGTCAGTTAGTGGCCCTTATTCTGATTGCCCCTGCTAAGAACCTAGCAACCTTTGCTGTTATCTGCTCCGTTTGGTCTGACAGGAGAAAGGACACTGTGGCAGTGGTTGTGCGTCCTGGGATGGGGTGATGACCTTGTTCCTCAGGTCTTTGTAGAGAGTGCAAGACAGGAGGATGTGAGCCACTGTTTCGGTGCTACCGTCTCCACAGGGGCAAAGGCGTTTCTCATGCGGGATCTTTTGGAATCGGCCCTCAAGTACAGCAGACGGCAAAACGTTCAGTCTTGCGAGTGTGAAAGCACGTCTGTATTTTGGGGTAGCTAGTTTGTGCAGGTATGGAGCCAGAGAACCAAAATGGGAAGATGGAAATTGATCATACCGTGGGAAGAATTTCCTTATAGCGGCCAGGTTGTTCTGATGCTCGATACCTTTTAGACATTGACAAATTATACTGTTTGCTTTGGTCAGGCCCATAGCCAGGCCCTTTGTCAAGTGAGTGTGCATTCTTGGGCAGATGTGGCCCTTGTGGCCCTGTTGAGATGCAGGTGGAGGACTTTGCTCTCTCTGGACTCGGTTGGCAGCATGACATGGCGACCCTCTCCCATTGTCTTGCCTCTCCTGTCACACTTAGGATGTGAGTGTGAACGCGCATGAGCCTCACTGCACCCTGCTCCAGACCAGCTGTGTGATGTGGCCAGCTTTCTGAGAGCTTCACTCAAGCCGTATCTTGGTGTGTGGAGAAGGGGTAGGGGAATCGCCCATGCTGCAGCTTAGATGTGGCTGCACTCCACAAATGACCTAATCTGGGGTCTGTGTGATTTCTGATGGCTGGGACAACAGGGGGAATGAACGTTTGAAATAAGTAACTCCCATTGCCTCAGAGTAATGAGCTGGTAGTCTTTGGGCGATGCTAAGTGTGGCTGCAGAATGAGTAGACTGGATCACTGGGCAGAATGTGGCCGGGGAGGTTCTGCGGCTTAAGGCCTGTTTCGCGGCGGGTGGGGCCCCTCTGTTCATCGTATCTGTTTGTGCAGAGGAGTGCCGTTTGCATTTACTGCCTCAGGCATGCTTAGTGCAGCTGCTCCAGAGTTTATTGAAGCAACAGCTGCCCATCTCAGCTTTCTCCCAACCTGGTATCCTCCAGATGTTTTGGGCTTCGATTCCCGCTCGGCCCAGCCAGCACAGCTGATGGGAGATATTGTCTGGAACATCTGTAGGGCACTGGGTTGGGGAAGGCCAGGCCATCCCTTTACTGCCTCTGCAATTTTAAATCCCTTAGAACAGTCTGGCCCTAAAAAAAAACCCTGACATAAGCAACTTCGTGGTATTGCATTCCTGTGTCTCTCTGCAGCCTCAAAGACCAGCCAGTGTCTTTTGCAAGCCAGAATTCCCCCAGGTTACCATAAGGAAACCTCGAGCGCCGCAAGTTGCTTGTGCTGGAATGTGAAGGAGCCCATGGAGGCGAAATACCTTTGCCTTAAAAGGCCTTCTCTGCTCTGGCTCCCTTGGCCGTACAGCACAACTTGTGCTGCTTTTGGGGGAGCTGTTCCCTGAATGCCTTCCTCTTCCTTCTCCTGGTAAAGGCCTGCTCTCCTTTGGCCGGCCAGCTGTACAGCTGTTTCCACAATCACTCACTAAGCACCATTAATGTACATGACACTTCTTGCGTAGCAACACACACACCCCCGACCCTCCGCTGCTGCTGTAGGAGGAGAAAGAAGCTAGGCTCCCCACCACAAGCGGCTTCGAGTTCATTTTTTTTACCATGGGGCAGGCAGCAACAGGAATGACTGTGCTGGGGGGAGAGAAAGGACAAATGCACTCCTATGTACCGTATTTTTTGCCCTATAGGGCGCACCGGCCCATAGGACGCACCTAGTTTGGGGGGGGGGAAATAAAGGGGGGGATTTTTTTTTCCCCCCAGGTGTGGGGATGGGGCAGGGGAAGCCCGAGCTTCCCCCGACCCCAGCCCCCAGAACAGGTTGCTATCCGCAAGCTTTGGGAGCCCAGCGGGAAGTTGCGCCGGACTCCCAAGGCTTGCGGAGAGCTGCCCGAAGCCCGGGGTGTGCTCTGCGGGTTCCGGGCTGCAGGCTGCTGTCCGCAAGCCTTGGGAGCCCAGCAGGAGTTGGTGCACACCCACCCCTCTCGCTCTCCAGGCTTCAGCGAAAGCCTGCATTCGCCCCATAGGACGCACACACATTTCCCCTTCATTTTTGGAGGGGGGAAAGTGCATCCTATAGGGCGAAAAATACGGTACTTGGGCTTCAAGGTGAGGGTGAAGCAGTCATGCCAAAGTCTTTGTGGGTACCCACTTGGCAGATTTCAGTTCTGTCTCCCGGTCTTCTCTGGCATGTGTCCGAACAGGATGCTGGACTAAGTGGGCCCTCTTTGGCCTGATCCTGCAGCCAGGCTCGCCTTAGGCTCTCATGTTCTTATCTTCTCTGGTTGTAAATATCCACAGTGGTTTTGTAGGTCCTGCCTTCTGTTGAACTAAGAGGTTTTGCCTTTCCTTTCCCCTCCTCTCTCCCCACTTTTCTTTCCTCTTCCCCACCTCCTTTTCTTTTCTACTGTGCTTTTCTCTATGGCCAAAAGCTGTTAAATCCTTGCGTGTACAACCAGGCTGGCATTTTCTGCGGTGGCTTCTAGGACCAGGCAACTGATAAAGAGAGGAGCATGCAGGAAATGCAGGGCTTCTGGCGTCGCGTCTGGCATTTGCAGGGGCTTTGGGCGTGATCGGAGCTGGCTTGGGCACAGCTGCATTCCAGGTGGCTGCAGAGGAGCCCAGAGGCCTGCCCAGAGCACCACATCACAGTCACCTGGGCAGACGAAGCCGGGTTGCTCATGGTCCCAGACCCCCAAAGAGAGGGAGCGTATCTGCCCCTCCAGCAGAGGGTCACGTTCTGCTCAGCGCCGTAAACAGGAAATGCTTGGGGTTTTTGGAGGCTTGGAAGGCTGGATAATGTCACTGCCGCGCAGAAAGAAAAAGGAGCTGTAGCTTTTGGGCCGCTTTCCGTCCTCTTGGGCTCGTCCAGAAAAAACACAGCGCTGATTTATGGCCTCCGTCAAGGGGTCAGCTCCGTGTGAAAGGTCCGCCGTGGCCTGCCAGCCTTCTGCTGGAGGGATATTTGCTTTAAAGCTGCATAAACATAAAGTTGTATGCGGATGAACGTATTGCTTGATTGCTTTCCCCCTGTCTCTCCCCACACTCCCCAAAAATAATTACAGAGGGTGAGAGCTCTCCGGATCTTTTTCCAGTGTTGCACATATGAATTTTCCCTGCCATGGGTCTGGCTCTTGATCTATTTAGCCCAGGGCTGAACCATCCATGGTTTTCTGGAGAGCTTTTATTCTCCAGCCTGGATATTTTTTTTACTGGGGAGATCAGGGATTGAACCTGAGGCTGTGTGTGCAAAACTTGTTCTCTGCCACTGAGCGATGGGCCCAATCCTTTCTTTTGGGAGGGAGAGGAGTGCCTATTTCCCCTGTCCCTTCAGGAACATCTTTTTAAAGCCATTCCTAAATCCTCTTTATTGTTCCTCCACCACCATGACTCTGCCCATTCCCACTCATTGTGGGCCCCAGACCTGGGCTGGTCGCCAGAAATAATGTGGTCGTGGGAGGGCCTAAGAGAACATTGGGAGCATTGTAAGTCAGCGGGACAGCCTTGACCCGAAGGCAAGAACTTAGAAGACGTTTCATTCGAATTTACCAGATTTTGCGTTTCAGAGCACTAGTAACCCGGGAGGGCGAGGGAGAGCGCCTGCTCATCCCATTGCTTATTTGTTTAAAACTCTGTGGGTTTTTTATTTAAAAATAAATAAATTCCAAGGCTTTATTGTGACGTTAAAGTAGAAAACATGAAATAAAACAGAGAAGGGGCATAAAGGAGTACCAAGAAATGAAACCAGGGTTCATAGCCATTAGCTCATAAAATAAAGTACATTCTCGTGAGAGACTACACCGTTGAGTTAGACGTCGCAACCCAAAATGACCTGTTACAGAGACGGTACAAAACAAACATTTTGAATACCAAATAAAGCCGTATTTCATCCGTGGATGGAGGGGGCGAGAGAGAGTCCTTGTGATTCATTTCTGTAATGCTCCTGAGCGCAGAAAGTGCTTTGCACTTGAGAAGTTTGGGACCGGCCCTTCCTTGGTGTTCTCTTCCCATCTCTTGAGCCCTAGGGAAGCCATTGGGTGAGGGGCGTCCTCAACTTTCGCTTGGGAGGCCGATGGGCAGGGTTGCTTCCAGAGGAGGCGATGTCAGCCCTTCCCTCTGTAGCTCAGTGGCAGAGCGTTGGATCTGCTTGCAGGAAGCCCCGGGTTCAGCCCATGGCAGCATCTCAGGGCAGGCCTGGGATTGTCCGCTGCCTGAAGCCCTGGAGAGGCGCTGCCAGCCAGTGTAGACCGTGCTGGGGTAGACGGACCAAAGGTCTGACTCAGGGTAAGGCAGCTTCCGGACTTTCTCTCCTCCCTGCAGTGGGGGCCTAGTAAGGTAAAGGGACCTCTGACCGTTAGGTCCAGTCGTGGCCGACTCTGGGGTTGCGGCGCTCATCTCGCTTTACTGGCCGAGGGAGCCGGTGGACAGCTTCCGGGTCATGTGGCCAGCATAACTAACCTGCTTCTGGCGAACCAGAGCAGCGCACGGAAACGCCGTTTACCTTCCCGCCGGAGCGGTACCTATTTATCTACTTGCACTGGTGTGCTTTCGAACTGCTAGGTTGGCAGGAGCAGGGACTGAGCAACGGGAGCTCACCCTGTCGCGGGGATTCGAACCGCTGACCTTCTGATCGGCAAGCCCTAGGCTCTGTGGTTTAACCCAGTGGGGGCCTAGTACCATGTAACAACAACAACAATAATAATAATAATAATAATAATTTTTTATACCCTGCCCTCCCCGGCCAAAGCCAGGCTCAGGGCGGCTAACACCAGTAAAATTACAATAAAAACATAATAGGGGAAAGAAGAAGAAAAAAACCATTTAAAATACAGGTTAAAATGCAATTTAAAATGCAGCCTCATTTTTAAAGTAGCCCATGGATCAAAACCGTAAGGGGAGGGAAAACATAAGGGTCAGATTACCTATTGCATTATTGCTGTTCTTTGTAGAGTTGGAAGGGATCCGGAGGTTCATCTAGTCCAACCCCTGCAATGCAAGAAAATGCAGCTGTCCCATACGGGGATCGAACCTGCAACCTTGGCATTATCAGCACCATGCTCTAGCCAGCTGAGCTATCCAGACTGCCTCTGTTGCTATTACTAAATTTATAGCTCACCTTTCCTCCAAGGTGACAAACATGGTTCTCTAGCTCCCTCTGTTATTTATTTATTTTACGGTCCTGTATACCTGAAGGAGCGTCTCCACCCCCATCGTTCTGCCCGGACACTGAGGTCCATCCCCGAGGGCCTTCTGGTGGTTCCCTCACTGCGAGAAGCCAAGTTACAGGGACCCAGGCAGAGGGCCTTCTCGGTGGTGGCGCCCGCCCTGTGGAACGCCCTCCCATCAGATGTCAACAACTACCAGACTTTTAGAAGACACCTGAAGGCAGCCCTGTTCAGGGAAGCTTTTAATGTTTGATGTATTACAGTATTTTAATATTTTTTTGGAAGTCGCCCAGAGTGGCTGGGGAAACCCAGCCAGATGGGTGGTGAGTAAATAATATATTATTATTATTATTATTATTACTACTACTACTACTACCCCCCTCACAACCGCCCCATGAGGTAGGCTCAGCTGAGAGACAGCAACTGGGTCAAACTCACACCCAGTGAGCTTCATTGCTGAGCGGAGATTCGAACCCTGGACTCTCTGCTCCCAGCCTGGCACTCTAATTTCCCAGTGGCAGTTGCAAAGAGTGCTACACGCCAGGTCACATACTTATCTGTGTCTGCGAGGAGATATAAAATCATGTCAGAGGGGTTCTGGCCAGGGGACCTTGTCGTTATGGTGCTAAAAATCTCTCTCTTGCTTCATTATATAAGGGGCAGCGCAGGATATAATGCATAAGGTCCTCTACTTCAAGACATCCAGCCTTGACAGACGCAGCTATGGATTACAGTAGCATTTTCATTCTTTAAATCCGTGTTTCCTGGCTGTTGCTGGACTACAACTCCCATCATCCCTAGCTAGCAGGGCCCAGTGGTCAGGGATGATAGGAGTTGTAGTCCAACAACAGCCAGGGACCCAAGTTTGAGAAACAACGGTTCAGTCAGGCTAAAGAAAGTCAGGCGTGATTAGAGAGCGGTTGTCACACGGTCTTAAGCCAGCAAAGCGCCACCCAGGACTTCAGGTATGTGAAGAAGCCCTTTGTCATCAGTGCTGATGGTTTTGTACAGAATTTCAGAAGCTTCTGGGGTCCCCTCCTGAGTTTGATTTTCCCCACGTAGCCGCTCTACAGATCACAATCCTGGAGTCTAAGCCACAGGTTCTCTTCAGCCCTACTACCCCAGTCTAAATTTTATTTTTAAAACAAAAATAAAATAATTTTATCAACGTTTCATCTAGGGGGCTTCTTACCAAATTTGGCGACGGCCACGAAGATGCTGAGGAGTGAGTGATTTCTTTCTTGACGTTTGACTTTCCTCTCTCTCTCTCTCTCTCTCTCTCTCTTTCCTTTGCTACCTAACAGAGTTGGCTTTCTTTAACAATGTCTCAGTGACCCTTGGAGACCCTTGGAGGGGCTGGGGCTTCTCCTGAGTGGGCTGGGAAACCCTGTCTTTCGTTCCAGCCCAGCCTTTCTAAACTGTTCTGCATTCAGAGAGTACCTGAGATGTTTAAAGCACTTAGAATCATTGAATTGTAGAGTTGGGAGGGACCGCAAGAGCAATTAAACACAATGTAGAGCAATAAAACACAATGCAGATCATAAAACAACATAAAAACCAAACACCATTTTTTTAAAAATCCGTAGAAGTAAATGTACCTATTTGGAAAGGCCTAGGGAGAAAAGGAGAGCTTTAAGTAAACATCGAAAATATAACTTCTTGCTTCACGTCTGAGGGAAGAGGGTTCCGGAGAACGTGATGCCTTTTCTGCCTCCACGCACAGAATTTTGGCTCTGGGCAGGAAGCTTCTCAGGGCTTCTCGCTTCCCACCTGCAATGCGATGCCGATGCCGTGTTCATTCGGTTTCCGTGTGCAATCCTTTCAAAAAGTGTAGCTCGCTTTGCAAAATTCCATGACGCCATCTGCAAAGCTATTAACACATTGTCCCACCAAAAATATGTTCTCCTTCCGATGGCTTTTCTTTTTAATTGCCATCTGGCAGAATAATTCTGAAAAATCGAAGAATGGCAAGGCTGGAGTAATTAGAGGATGTGCTTTCTCTGTGCTTAAAAAACAACAACAACGCCCCAAAATTTTGCATTATGCTAACTGCAGTTCTCTCCTGTGCAGAGTTTTCAAACCACGTGTGGTGAAGAGATCAGAATTGTGCGAGTTTACAGATCGTAGGGTTTGTGGGGGCGGCCGTATTCAGATTTGGCAGGGGGAGAGGGAAGAGGGGTGGGACAGACAGTCACAGTCCTGATCTCGTCACGGTACCTTAGTCCCAGGGGTCTGTAGGGCTTCCTGTGCCAAAGAAAAACTAAGATCATGCAACCTGGATAAGTCAAGCACATCTTCCCCATTGAAGCTGGATTTTGGAAGTTTCAGGGCAGACGACAACAGAAGAGTCCTTCACGCTGCACATAGTTAAACTCTGCAGTTCGCTTCCAGAAGATGTAGGGATAGCTGCCAGCACACAGAGAGAGCCTTGTTGGGCAGTCAAGGTGTGCATCTGAGAAACCCCAGAGGGATTTGAGAGGCTGCTCACATTTTCAGGGCCTTGCAGAAGTGAAACATTTTCTGGTGTGTGACAGATACTGACGGGAGGAGAGGGAAAACCCCACCAAGAAGTGTTGTCTTCCACCGTGTGTCTTATCCTGCTGGTTTTCCGCTGTCCTCACTAACACCCCTCCTTTCAAAAGTGACTTTCTGCAACCAGAGGCTTTGGTTTTGGGAAAATGAAACGATAGCCTTGTCAGCCAGCTAACCTTCCTTTTGAAAACCTGTGTGCACCTCAAAGCCAGGTGGGAAGGAATACCATTTTTGTTGGCTTTTCTTCTTGTTTCTTTTTAGATCAACACTGAAAAGGGGAGGACCCCCTCCGCTACCTCCAAAGGTGAGCGAACGCCGCAGCCACATGACGTGTTCCTCCGGGCTAGAATGCTGAAAGTGTGTGCGTGGAGTGTACTGAATTGGTTAGCAAAGAGAGGGGGCAGACCAGTGGGGAAGAATATGGAGCAAAAGAGGGCAGGGGCAGGAGGAGAAGCCGAGCTTCGCTGCATGTGGCGTTTCCTCCAGGCCAGCTATTGAGGAAGGGCAGCGCTAGCACATCAGATTGCAAAGCAGCTGCCATCGCCAGCAGACTCCATTGGCAGAACCGGTGCAGCAGACTCCATTGGCAGAACCGGTGTTGTTAACGTAACACACATTCTGCATTTCTAAGAACTCGATCTTTTTGTGTGGCGGCACCTGCACTGCGGAACTCCCTGCCTCTTGATACCGTACCCTGTTCAATGCCTGCTGAAAACATTCATGTGTAGAGAAGCCTTTCCTGGTGTTTAGAAAGCTGGTGGCAAGCTTAAATCTGTTTTGGGTCTATTGTCGTTTGAAAAGTATTCCTTTGGTGCACATTTTTATTCTTATTTATTTATGATTTAAAATGTAAATCAAGGTTTAAAATATAAATGAAAGAAAAAGAAAAAATATATTACTTTTAATTTGTCTTACTGATGTATTTTTGTGCTTTATCTTTTTTGGAAATCACTTTGGTTGGTTGGTTGATTTAACAATCAATGTTCTGAAAGCAATCAATCTGTTTTGCTCTCTGTGTCTTCTCACTCTAGCCCAGGCTCAGTATCTACCAAGAGGAAGGCCTCATCGATGATGAGAAGTCCCAGACGATCAAGTATTGCCCCGACTCTCACGGCCAAGCCCCACCGTCTCACCGGAGACAGAGCATCCCAGTGTGCGGGCCTCAGACAGAACCTTCCCCAATTGGGATGACCAGCAGCGTCAGCAGTCCTGGTTTGCTCACCGCCGGCTACAGCGACTTGGGTGAGTATCCCCATCCTGGGAGGGCCACCTGCCCTGCCGCTTTGGGCTGTGTGCAGAATGCACTAAGCACCTGAGGACCCCGGTCATCGCAGCCGCCCCACGAGATACCTGGGACTGCGGGGGGAAACATTAGAGGCAACCTCCACTGGCAGTTTCCGAAGGTGAGGGTGCCAAATTAAGACTTGGCTCCTTGGCGCTCCCATGCAGCTATACTGAGAACAGTCTGGGGGAGAGGAAGTTCCCCCCCCCCCCGTGGGGGGAGCAATACTTGTTGTTCCAGGCCACTGACCTGCAAAAGTCCCATTTCCCTTCAGTCGACCGTGGTTTGTTCTTTTGGTTGGGTACACAGTACAGCTGCACCAGAGTGTAGAAGGAGCTGGCGTTTTCGTTTCTGCTTTTAAGGCAGAAGTTTTCTAAGCAGGCTTCTTAAGTCATCTGAATCATCTGAAGGGTGCCAACTTGGTGAAGTGTGCTGTAATTTAAAAAATACAGTCTGCAGTCGAAACAGACCGGGAGGGCACCATGTAGCATAGCTTGACATATTGAGGCCCTGGCCAATAGCAAGGTGCCCCAGGCCAGAAGCTGGATTTTGCACCTTTGCCTCCCCAATCTACATTCTACACTCCCCACCATTCCATCCTGCCCCAGTTTTTCCTCCTTCAGCCATTCTTGTAATGTCCCAAAACCCCCCTCTAGAGGGATTTTGGTTACTTATCTTCCTTCCAGTTCAAATCCAAAAGACAAGTTAGTTTATATCAATTCTTCCTTATTTTCAACAAAATAACCAAATTGTAACAAATATATCCAGCAGAGACAGCAAAAACAAAGTTCTCTTTTTCCTTCTTGACAGCTACTTTGACAGCTGTCAAACTCTTCTATATTTCCTCAACAGGCTTTCTCGCGGATCACTCCCGGGTCCGGGGGGGTGACACTTCAGCTCTCAAAATTTGCTCTTATCCTCCAGTAAAATTACTTATATTGCCAAGACGTGAAATTAATATCTTTTACTCAATAGAGAAGAAGACGTTCTCTCGACCTTACTTGGTTAGTCCTTGCTTTAAATTATTTACAGGACGGGGAGACGGACTTCCTTTTTGCGCCTTCCCCGATTGTGCCTAATTCAAAAAAATTTCCCCTTGCAAATCCAATTTTCCAATTACTCACGGGTTGTTGCTTTTAAAGTCCAATTGTTCAAAGGAAGAAGTCAGCGCTCTCCGACCATGGCACACGGCTTCACTCTGCAGGAGAAGCAGTCGACTCTCAGCACCGCGCCACTCACCCTGTCCCCCATTCCGTAGCCTTTAAAAAGGCTCCTTCGCGGGTCGGGTGGGCGCAAACGGTGCCCGCCGAGTCACCAGGTTCACAGGCTGCAGCGCCTGTGATTTCTAGGGGTCCCCGCGTCGCCGCAGCGGCCAGACCCAACTCCTACGGAGCCGATTCCCTCCGGAGCTCGGAGGGAATCCGCCATTAGTCGATGGCGCTAACCCGGAAGTCTGCCCCAGTTTTTTAAAAGCCCATGGACTGACCTTTAAAGCCCTAAACGGCCTCGGTCCTGTATACCTGAAGGAGCGTCTCCACCCCCATCGTTCAGCCCGGACACTGAGGTCCAGCGCCGAGGGCCTTCTGGAGGTTTCCACCCTGTGAGAAGTGAGGTTACTGGGAACCAGGCAGAGGGCCTTCTCGGTAGTAGTGCCTGCCCTGTGGAATGCCCTCCCAGCAGATGTCAAGGCAACTATTTTGCTTTTAAAAGACAACTGAAGGCAGCCCTGCTTAGGGAAGTTTTTCATTTTTGATGCTGTATTGTGTTTTTGATATTCGGTTGGAGGCCGCCCAGAGTGGCTGGGGAAGCCCAACCAGATGTGCGGGGTATAAATAATAAATTATTATTATTATTATTATTATTATTATTATTATTATTATTATGCTGCAAATTAATGATGAGCTGATTGCTGTATTGTATTTTTCAATGTATTTATTAGTTTTTACACATTTTAGGCAATGCATGTACCGTATTTACTCAAGTCTAATGCGCCATCAGACCTAATGCTCACCTCAATTATCAGAACCTTGAAACCCCAAAAAGGATTTGCCTGCGAATGTAGATGTGCCATCGAATCTAATGTGCACCTTAATTTTCGCATCATAATTTGTCCCAAAAAGGTGAATTTGGGTAAATATGGTATGTGTGTAACAATAAAACAACAATAGCAGAATAAACCACGTAGACATTTTGATAAGAAAAGCAAGTGAAAAGATCATAGCGCATCTTCACATATGTTAAAGACTCAATTTGATTTACTGATTTATAGTATTTCTCTGCTTCTTTCCATTCAAATGAATTCCATAGCAGCTTACGAACAATAAATAACAATAATGTAATGGAACATCACAACTACAGCATAAAGAATATAATGTCATTAACAAATTACCAGTAAAACAATTACAAACTATAAAATAATAAATTATTATTATTATTATTATTATTATTATTATTATTATTATTATTATTTATACTCCGCCCATCTGGCTGAGTTTCCCCAGCCACTCTGGGCGGCTCCCAATCGAGTGTTAAAAACAATACAGCATTAAATAGTAAAAACTTCCCTAAACAGGGCTGCCTTCAGATGTCTTTTAAAGATAAGATAGCTGCTTATTTCCTTCACATCTGGTGGGAGGGTGTTCCACAGGGCGGGCGCCACTACCGAGAAGGCCCTCTGCCTGGTTCCCTGTAACCTCACTTCTCAAAGGGAGGGAACCACCAGAAGGTCCTTGGCGCTGGATCTCAGTGTCCAGGCTGAACGATGGAGGTGGAGATGCTCCTTCAGGTATACAGGACCGAGGCCGTTTAGGGCTTTAAAGCTGCTAACAAGCCAGCAAGTAAGCGTCACCAGTATAGCATGTCATATTATATCATCAGCAAGTATATAAAGGCATCTGTATTCTAAAAACAATATGAACGAAGCAGCAAATTAATTTTTTTTCTTCTTTAGGCAACGGGGACACTGTGCCAAAGCTCGCGGAGGAGAACGCTGACGGCTTGGGCTACGTGCCACAGCTGCCACGGAAAAAGGACAAGCGGGAATATCTGGTGGGTGGTTTTGCACTCGGCTCCCTTGCGTGGCCTCCCTGTGGCTGCTCATTATTGTCTAGCTCCATCCATCTGTACCCAAGAACTGCTCTTATTCAGGGCTCTGGGAATTTAATTAATAGTAGTAATGTTGATGATGATCCTGTACCAGGAGTGGTCCATGTGTACCAGAATGTATTATTATTATTATTATTATTATTATTATTATTATTATTATTAAATTAATTAAATTTGTATACTGCCCTGTACCCGCAGGTCTCAGGGTGGTTAATGTACAGGTAACAAGGACAAGGTAGCCTGATCCAGCCTTGACAACAGAAAGTTGCACACCGCTTTTGCGAAGCAACCGCATAATATGTCAGCTTGGATTTGAATTTCACCCCCATCCTTTCAAGGTGTTGCTCCCAAGGAGCAGTGTTTGCCTTCCAATGGTGGTTTGTGATACTCTTTTTTTTTTTTTTTCCTATCCACAGAAGCCTGCAATCAATGGCCTCCCACCGACTCCAAAGGTGCTGGTAAGAAAGCTTTTTGATTGAGTACGAGGAGCTGAAACGGCACGTCTTGAAACTGCTCTGCATGTTGTGCTGCTTCTAGCTTTGCTTAGCCCGCAGCTCCTTAACGTTAGCTCCCTGCCTTTGAGCCAGGCTCCCATCTCTGTTTCTTTTAACGGAGATCACGGTTTGCAAAAGCATCTGTGCCCAGGGTCAGTAGCAGCACCTGGCATACTGGGGCATATACTGGGGTCTCTGCAGCACTGCAGGGGCCGCCACCTTGGGACTTCTTTGCTTCCTGTTCATGCTTGCATGTGAGCTGGCTTTCCAGAGGCGGGGTGTGCATGCTGTCACCGGCCAGGAGCCGTCACGTTACAGTGGTGTTAATGTAGGGTAGCCCCCTTTCCCCCATCTTGAACAGGAGAGGGGTGCTCGGTGGGCTCCCCAGGGTTTTACGGTGTCGCTGCCTCCACTTAATAATCCAGTTTGCTGGAGAAAAAGATCAAAAGCGAAGATCCTTGTGGGAGCCTGGCTTAAAGGCAGGGGCTAACAGATTGAGGTTAAATCCTGACAAGACAGAAGTACTGTTTTGGGGGAACAGGAGGCGGGCAGGTGTGGGGGATTCCCTGGTCCGGAATGTGGTAACTGTGCCCCTGAAGGACCAGGTGCGCAGCCTGGGAGTCATTATGGACTCACAGCTGTCCATGGAGGCACAGGTCAAATCTGTGTCCAGGGCAGCTGTTTACCAGCTCCATCTGGTACGCAGGATGAGACCCTCCCTGCCCGCAGACTGTCTCGCCACAGTGGTGCATGCTCCGGTTATCTCCCGCTTGGACTACTGCAATGCGCTCTAAGTGGGGCTACCTTTGAAGGTGACCCGGAAACTACAACTAATCCAGAATGCGGCAGCCAGACTGGTGACTGGGAGCGGCCGCCGAGACCACATAACACTGGTCTTGAAAGACCTATACTGGCTCCCAGTATGTTTCTGAGCACAATTCAAAGCTCTGCTGCTGACCTTTAAAGCCCTAAACGACTTCGGTCCAGTATACCTGAAGGAGCATCTCCACCCCCATCGTTCAGCCCAGATGCTGAGGTCCAGCTCCGAGGGCCTTCTGGCGGTTCCCTCGCTGCGAGAAGCCAAGTTACAGGGAACCAGGCAGAGGGCCTTCTCAGTAGTGGCACCCGCCCTGTGGAACGCCCTCCCACCAGATGTCAAAGAGAAAAACAACTACCAGACTTTTAGAAGACACCTGAAGGCAGCCCTGTTTAGGGAAGCTTTTAATGTTTAATAGATGGTTGTATTTTAATATTCTGTTGGAAGCCACCCAGAGTGGCTGGGGAAACCCAGCCAGATTGGCGGGGTATAAATAATAAATTATTATTATTATTATTATTATTATTATTATTATTATTATTATTATTATCATTATTATTATTCCCATCCCAGCACAACCGGTCATTTCTCTGGCCTCTGAGACCATCCATTGGCCATTTCCCCCTCATCTGCTTTGCTTCTTTGTGCTTTCTAATGGTCAGAGGTACTAGAAACTTGCGTGTTCCATTTACGGCAATGAAGACACCCCGTGATGTGTTTTTTCCCTTTTGCTGTTCCAGATGGGAGCCTGCTTCTCCAAAGTGTTTGACGGCTGCCCTTTGAAGATCAACTGCGCCACATCCTGGATACACCCGGACACAAAAGGTGAGGGTGACTTTCTGTTTTTGAGCTGGGGAGGAATTCACACCCCACCCCAGTTGCGTTTCCGAAGAGGCTAAGCCAGTTTCCCCTCCGCCATGTTCTAGATCAGTATATCATCTTTGGCACGGAAGAAGGCATCTACACTCTGAACCTCAACGAGCTCCACGAAGCCACCATGGAACAGGTAGGGGAGAACTGCTCAGGGCCAGCAGGATCCTTCTGGGAGGCCGAGGCCAGGGAGATGGACAAAGCCCCCTTTCAGGATCAGGGACTAGGTGCGCCTCCTCCGGGGCAGGAGGGCTGGGTGGCCATTGTGGGTGGAGCAAAAGGCTCTCTAGTCTTCCCTACTCTAAGTTCCATCATCTTAAGACAGCAGTGGAAAACCTGTGGCCTCCATGCGCGCCTGGACTCCAACTCCCATCATCCCTGGGTCTTGGCCACACTGCTTGGGGCAGATGGGAGTTGGAGTCCAGCAATACCTGGAGGGACACAGGCTCCTCAACCTGAGAAAAATGTGGAACCAGCCATCGGAGCTTCTCAGGTCCCCCAATTTCCCTAGCTAGTATCTGCAGCCATATGACTTAAGATCAGCCTTCCCCCAGCCTGTTGCCCTTCAGATGAACCACAGCTGCAGCCAGCACCATGCCATGCTGATGGGCGCTGTAGTCTCTAAAACACGAGTTCCGCTTTTGTCTTACAGGTGAAACTCGAAAAATTAGAATATCGTGGGAAAGTTCATTTATTTCAGTAATTCAACTTAAAAGGTAAAACAAATATATGAGATAGACTCATGACATGCAAAGCGAGATATGTCAAGCCATTATTTGGATGCTATCAGCCTGTGGCACTGCTGAGGTGTGATGAGAGCAGCTTTTGCATCTCGTTTGGAAACCAAGGACCCAGAGTCTGGAGGAAGAATGGGGAGGCACACAATGCCAGATGCTTGAAGTCCAGTGTGACGTTTCCACAGTCTGTGTTGATTTGGGGAGCCATGTCATCAGCTGGTGTTGGTCCACTGTGCTTCATTAAGTCCAGGGTCAACGCAGCCGTCTACCAGGAGATTTTGGAGCACTTCATGCTTTCTTCCGGAAACGAGCTTTATGGAGATGCTGACTTCATTTTCCAGCAGGACTTGGCACCTGCCCACACTGCCAAAAGTACCAAAACCTGGTTCAATGCCCATGGGATTACTGTGCTTGATTGGCCAGCAAACTCGCCTGACCTGAACCCCATAGAGAATCTATGAGGCATTGCCAAGAGAAAGATGAGAGACATGAGACTGAGCAATGCAGAAGAGCTGAAGGCTGCTATTGAAGCATCCTGGTCTTCCATAACACCTCAGCAGTACCACAGGCTCTCATATATTAGTTTCACCTTTTAAGTTGAATTACTGAAATAAACGAACTTTTCCATGATATTCTAATTTTTCGAATTTCACCTGTACTCATTTAATTTCCCCAGGCCATCCTTTTAAGATACTGCCTGAAAGAGTTTTTATTCTGTGCTGCTGCCCTGCTTTTATTGTTTCTGCTGTTTTTTAATATATTTGCTTCCAATGTGTTGGTTCTCATTGTCTTTAGTTAGTCAATATCATCTCGGGAGGTGACGAGGTCCCCCCATACTGGAGGCATTTAAAGAGAGGTCAGGCAGCCCTCCGTAAGGGAGGCTGAGGTTGCATCCTGCATTAGGGAGCCTCCTCTGAGGTGGACTTTGTGGCCTCCAAGTGTCTCCTTCTGACTGTAAATTTCTGTGGTCTGTGAGTCAGCCTGGAAGTGTGAGGGATAGAGAGAGGTTCTATAAGCTATGTATATATGAAAATAAATCAGATTACAACCGAGTGTAACTCTCGAAAACTTAATAGTAACCTCATACCCAATGCATACTTATCTGGGTATACACCCCATTCATCACAGCAGGACCTAACTTCTGAGTTAACACAGAATCATAGAGTTGGAAGGGACCAGAAAAATTTAACCTGAGTTGCCAGAAACTGCCTTCCATGCTTCCTTTAACGCCTCCCCAGTTTTTCACCCATGGGAATCTCTTCTGCTCCTTTTTCTAGCTGTTTCCGCGGAGATGCACCTGGCTCTACGTGATCAACAATACCTTAATGTCGCTCTCAGGTATGTCAGCTGCTAAAGAAATGCACCGCAAAGCTTAAACGGGGGGTTGCAGGGGAATAGGATATTCTCTTAGGAAATCTTCCCTTTGGTGTGCTAAGTTTAGCTTGGCTTACGGTAATGCCACGGAAGTCATTTTTAATTTGTTTCTTTCTCTTTTGCTCTCTGCAATTTGCTTGGACCTCTCTGGATGTTTTGGGGCTGTCCTTTTTAGAAGGTAACCTTTTCCCACTCTGTATTCTTTGTTTTTATTCGGTATTTGCATTTATTGTTATAATATGCCAGAGTTTTGAGACAGGCCGTGTTTCTGTTGCAGGGAGAACATTCCAGCTCTACTCTCATAACCTAATAGCTTTGTTTGAACAAGCCAAAAAAACAGGCCTTGCTGCTCATATTCAGACCCATCGGTTCCCCGACAGAATATTGCCCAGGTAAGCTAGCGCTCTCTTACCTCTTGAACCCAGTCTCAGGGCTAGCCAACATAATGCCTTCTAGAAGCTGCAGGGACTACAACTCCCATCAGTCCCAGCCAGTCAAGGATGATGGGAGCTGTAGTGCATCAGTGCGTGGAGAGCACCACATTAACTGTCCTGGCAGTAAGTGCGCCTTCCCTTGTTTTTTATTTTATTTAGATAACACAGATTGTAAGCTCTTGGAATGGTTAGGTGTGTGCATGTTTTCCACTATGCAGTAAATCATTTTTAAAAGTCAAGTAAAACTGCAGTTTCAAGAAACAGGAAAACATGGGGCAGAATTCAGTATTGCACTCTAAGAGTTGTTCCATCAGCACAAGGGTTTCGGCTTCCCTGATGGAGTGGTCACCCCTTTCCTCCCCTCTCTGTGCTGTCCTGGGCATTTTCCAGAAAGCCACAAGCACCCCAGGCAATTTGAAGCGATGTGGGTAAGCCCTGCTACACTAGCAGGAGTTGTTGCACTGGCTCACACTAGCACAAGTATTCAGTTGAATCCGTCCCCAAATGCCCAACATTGCAGTTTGGGCCTCTTCTTACCCCATGAGCCTGCCTGGACATGAAAAAAATCTTCTTCCAACAACCTTCACTTACCTTCAGAGGCAAGTGGCAGCTTACCCAAAGAAACCTCATTTCTTGGAGGTTTTTAAGCAGAGGTTTGATGGCCACCAACTTTCAGGGATGCTCTGATACAAAATGCAAAATGCCCTGATAAAGAACAGGATATGAAATCTTGCATGGGGTGGAGAACGTGAGAAGGGGATTAGACAGTAATGAGGGCTATCAAGGATCGCTTCCCATGAGAACTGTATTCTGCCTCCACTGTCAAGAGGCAAGTATATTGCTAGACACCAGGTGCTGGGGAAGAACAGAGGAAGAATGCCATTGCACTCATCTCCAGAGGCATCTGGTTGGCCACTCTGGTAGCAGGAGACTGGACTCAATAGGCCTAAGGCCTGATCCTCGTAGATAAGAAGTCAGATAAAACATGGAGGTCTGATTTGTAGGCGAAGAGGGGTTACATCAGGAGAGCCCTGCTGGCTCAGGGTCCATGCTTTTGGTAGGTCCTTCAAGGGAACACAAATACTACCCAGTATACCTGAAGGAGCGTCTCCACCCCCATCGTTCTGCCCAGACTCTAGGGTCCAGCGCTGAGGGCCTTCTGGCCGTTCCCTCATTGCGAGAAGCAAAGCTACAGGGAACCAGGCAGAGGGCCTTCTCGGTAGTGGCGCCCGCCCTGTGGAACGACCTCCCATCAGATGTCAAAGAGATAAACAATTACCTGACATTCAGAAGACATCTTAAGCCAGCCCTGTTCAGGGAAGTTTTAAATGTATGATATATTAGTGTATTTTTGGTCTTTGTGGAAGCCGCCCAGAGTGGCTGGGGAAACCCAGCCAGATGGGCGGGGTACAAATAAATTATTATTATTATTATTATTATTATTATTATTATTATTATTATTATTTATTACCTACTTCCCTCTCGTATGCTTCCCTGGCTGCTAGGCAGAGGTAGACTACCTCTATCCCCGAAGTGTCTATTTTGGGCCCATTTTGCAAGCTTGGGCAACAGTCGCATTGGTTTTTCTCCATCTACGTTCCCGTTTATATTCAGCGGGCTGAATACAAAAGTGACATAAGAGACAGTCCTAGTTAAACCAACAAACCATTCACACTTAACTCTCATTTCAGGAAATTTGCCTTAACGACAAAGATCCCGGATACAAAAGGGTGCCATAAATGCTGTATAGGTAAGTCTTCCGCTTGAGCTTCTGGAGACAATCTTCTCCCAGCTTTGTGGATCTGCTTGGACCTTCTCTGCCGGGGCATCCACTCCTCCCTCCCTCCCTCCCAAGTTTGTTACCTGCTTATATTCCACCTTCCTTCCATCCCGGAACCCAAAGCAACATGGGCTCTCACTTGTGGGGTGCCTCAGGGTTCCGTCCTCTCCCCTATGCTTTTCAACATCTACATGCAGCTGCTGGGAGAGATCATCAGGGGTTTGGGGTTGGGTGTTCATCAATATGCAGATGATACCCAGCTCTACCTCTCTTTTAAATCAGAACCAGTGAAGGTGATGAAGGTCCTGTGTGAGTGTCTGGAGGCGGTTGGAGGATGGATGGCAGCTAACAGATTGAGGTTGAATCCGGACAAGACAGAAGTACTGTTCTTGGGGCTGGTGTGGAGGACTCCCTGGTCCTGAATGGGGTAACTGTGCCCCTGAAGGACCAGGTGCACAGCCTGGGAGTCATTTTGGACTCACAGCTGTCCATGGAGGCGCAAGTCAATTCTGTGTCCAGGGCAGCTGTTTACCAGCTCCACCTGGTACGCAGGCTGAGACCCTATCTGCCCGCAGACTGTCTTGCCAGAATGGTGCATGCTCTAGTTATCTCCCACTTGGACTACTGCAATGCGCTCTATGTGGGGCTACCTTTGAAGGTGACTCGGAAACTGCAATTAATCTAGAATGCAGCAGCTAGACTAGTGACTGGCAGTGGCCGCTGAGACCATATAACACCAGTCCTGAAAGATCTTCATTGGCTCCCAGTACTTTTCCGAGCACAATTCAAAGTGTTGGTGCTGACCTTTAAAGCCTTAAACAGCCTCAGCCCAGTATGCCTGAAGGAGCGTCTCCACCCCCATCATCCAGCCCGGACACCGAGGTCCAGCTCTGAGGGCCTTCTGGCAGTTCCCTCACTGCGAGAAGCCAAGTTACAGGGAACCAGGCAGAGGGCCTTCTCAGTAGTGGTGCCTGCCCTGTGGAACGCCCTACCACCAGATGTCAAGGCAATAAACAACTGTTTTACTTTTAAAAGACAACTGAAGGCAGCCCTGTTTAGGGAAGTTTTTTTATATCTGAAGGACTATTGTATTTTAATATTGTGTTGGAAGCTGCCCAGAGTGGCTGGGGAAACCCAGCCAGATGGGCGGGGCATAAATTTATTATTATTGTTATTGTTATTATTATTATTATTACCAAGTAGTATGCAGAAGATTGGGGTGGGGCGTCAGCGCGACGGAGCTGGCCTGTCAAAGCAGAGCCAGCCAAGTGAGTTCTGCTCCCAGCTCTCCCACTGCTGGAACTGACTCAGTCCTAATCCTTTGGGGTTGTTCCTCTCCTTTGCTTTTCTTCCTCTGCAGTGAGAAATCCCTATACAGGCCACAAATACCTCTGTGGAGCGTTGCAGCTGGGGATCGTTTTGCTTCAGTGGTATGAACCGATGCAGAAGTTCATGTTAATAAAGGTGAGTGAGGGTCGTTTCTGCGCGACTTCGTGGTGGTGTTTCATGGGAATGGGTCCGCTGGGGGTGGAACTTGAAGGCTTCCGTGCAAGACGTTAAGCCGTTTCAGATCTGGAGTGGGAGTCGCATCTGCCGTCCGTTAACTTCTGTGCTTGGTTCAGGGTGTTGATGCTTCTCATCAGAGCCCTGAAAGACAGCTTTGAAGGGGCAGCAAAGACTTGAGGAGCAGAGAGGACCCCTTCACCATTGACCCCTGTGCTGGGGGATACCAAGGCCCTCCCTGCAGCTCATCATCACACTGTCTCCAACTCCATTTAGAGTAGCAGATGAAGGGCTGCCTTTTCAGGAGAGCCTTTTGAAAGTGATCCTGAGTCTTCTATACCTGTATATTTTTATTTTGACGTTGCTTTTCTTCATTTGCATTGCAAGGTGGGTTGGGTTAGATCAGGGTTTCCCAAACTTGGGTCTCCAGCAGTTTTGGGACTACAACTTCCATCATCCCTAGCTAGCAGGACCAGTGGTCAGGGATGATGGCAGTTGTAGTCTGGAGACCCAAGTTTGGGAAACTCTGGACCCTTTGGCTTACTCCCAGCTCTGCAATTCTGATTCTATAGTGATCTTAATTTACCGTATTTGTCTGTGTAGAAGATGCCCCCAACATATAAGACAACCTTATATGGTTTTTTAACCCATAATTAAGAAATTAGGTTGTTTAGCTTTTGGGGGGGAGGTCACTTCTGCCAATTGTTCACACGCCTGCCCGCCACTGCCGATCGCTGGCCACAGCCACTGGCGATCACACACCTTGCTGCAGCCGCCAATTGTCTGCCCACTCACAGCCACCAACTGCCCACCCGCCCACTTGCCGCAATCACCAATCGCCTGCCCAATTGCCGCCACCACAGCCAATCACCAGCAGGCCTTGCCACAGCCACCAATCACCCTCCCAATCGCCGTTGCCAATCTCCTGCTTGCTGCTGCCATTAATCACACGTCCCCCTCTGCGTTCACTATCCACGTATAAGACCAGTTACAGATAGGTAGCCGTGTTGGTCTGCCATAGTCAAAACAAAAAAATTCCTTCCAGTAGCACCTTAAAGACCAACTAAGTTAGTTATTGGAATGAGCTTTCGTGTGCATGCACACTTCTTCAGATACCTGAAGAAGTGTGCATGCACACGAAAGCTCATAACAAGAACTAACTTAGTTGGTCTTTAAGGTGCTACTGGAAGGAATTTTTTTGTTTTCACATATAAGACGACACCCAATTTTTGCCTATTTTTTTTTTTAGCAAAAAGCATCGTCTTATACACCGAAAAATACAGTACTTTTAAAAAAATGCTGTTGAGGCTTGTCATTGTTTGCAGGGTGAGATCTAAATGTTGAAAATAGTTTAGACGTCCACTCAGTAAGAAGCCAGATCTCAGAACAGGCCGGTTGCTGTTCAGTCTCATCTTTCCTTTCCTTTTGGTGGCCTTGTTGTTTCTTTCCCCCTGCCCCTTCCAGCACTTTGATTTCCCGCTGCCCACCCCCTGAACGTCTTCGAAATGCTGGTGATCCCAGAGCAGGAGTACCCCATGGTGTGCGTGGCGATCAGCAAGGGAGTCGAACCAAACCAGGTCGTCCAGTTTGAGACAATTAACCTGAACTCTGCTTCTTCGTGGTTTACAGAAACTGGTGCAGGTGAGGCTCCGGCAGACCTGAGTTCAGTTTACTATAAGAGACAATATGAGTTACTCACAGCGAAAGTGGGGAAGTGCAAGAGGTTGGAGGGGCCAAGTTCTGCTCAGAGGAGGGTTCTGTCACCTGGCAAGCTTTTGGGGGGGGGGAGGGCAGCAGAAGAGGTGGCATTATAGCGTCATGGGTTTGAGAAAGAGTTGCATCAGTGGGCTGGATGCAAATGGTTGCTCTCTTCTTCTTCTCCCCTCCATCAAGGTTGCCAACAGCTCGATGCCATCCACGTCACCCAGCTGGAGAGGGACACAGTTCTTGTCTGCTTGGACAGTAAGTAGCAGGAGTTAGAGCTTGCTTGCTGTTCTTCCTTTTCTTTTTTGAGCGCCGAGGCAGAAACAATAGAAAAAGAGGAGGGGACAAAAACAGAATAAACACAATAAAACATAATAATAAGCTAGCTAGGGGTGATGGGAGTTGTAGTTCAACAACATCTGGGGACCCACAGGTTGAGAAAGGCTGTTTTGTGGCAGATGAAGATGATGGAATTTTTGGAGCTGGCCGAGCTGACTGGAAGAGTCCGTGACCAGGAGGAGGAGGAGTACCAGGAAGAATGGATGAAATTTAAAGACTATTTAGTTAAATATGCTAAGATAACTTAATTGGAAAAGCTTGCAAATATTAGATAGGCTTAGGATTTAAATATGTAAGGATAGGATTTAAGATGTAGAAAGAATGAAAGATGTTAAGTGATCAAGTTTATTTTTTGAGAAACTCGATTTTGGAAAACTGTTTAAATGATATATAATGAAATTCAACCAAGGGGATTTGAGGAAGTCACTTAATAATGTTACAAAGATTGGTTTAATTACAAATAGGATATATGTGTGTTTGTTTGTTTGTTTTATATTTTTGGAAAATCAATTAAAAAATTTGGAAATAAAGAGAAAGGCTGTTTTAGAACAAGGCTGCCTAAAAGCAGCATTTAAGCTAAAAATCAGTTTAAAGCAGCAGTAGAATTACACATTAAAACCCTACATAGATCAGTTCCTCAAAACACATAGTTTATTAACATTCCTGTGTTGTTATGATGTTGGTGGTGATTTAGCACTCTGTCGCTGTGGTTCTCCCGCAGCAGCCGTTGCCTGTCTTGTGGGCTGAGTGGCTGCTGCCGTGGGCCCTGGCTCTTCCCGCTTCCATATATTTGTGGGGGCAGCCTCTCAGCTGACCCAGCAATCCCGATTTGGCTATCGTTTCTCCCTTTTAAGGATTTGTGAAAATTGTGAATCTGCATGGGAAACTGAAGTCGAGCAAGAAGCTGGCCTCCGAACTAAGCTTTGATTTCTGCATTGAATCTGTAGGTGAGCAGAGACCGTCTTCGCCATCGTTTATTGTCTCCAAAGTGCATGCTGTATGTTAGCTCAGAGGTGGGGGTCCCTTTTCAACCCACATTCCCTTCTGGGCAACCTTCCAGGAGCCAAATGCCACAGTGGGTGGGGCCAGGTACAAAAGCAGGCAGGGAAACAAATGTGAATTCCCTCTTTGTCCTCCACCAGATGTTTTGTCAGAGTTCAAGGATGCATTCTAGCCAGGCAAAAATCCTCAAGGAGGGTGCCAAGCTGTGGCCGGTGAGAATGTCTGGCCTGGAGAGAGTCTTGGGGGCCAGGTAAAGAAGCCTGGAGGCCCCAAACTCCTGCGGTAGATCGCATGCCACCCCACAGGCTCAGAGTCTGCAAGACACAAAACAGGAAGATGCTGGAAGGAAAGCCCATAATGACATTCCTCAAATGCCTGGGAGGCTTCCTTGGTGAGAACCAGCCATTGTTATGGCGGGAATGTTCCTCCTGATGGCATGTTTGGGCTCCTGAGCGCTCAGAGTGTGTGATCAGTGTCCCGCATTGGCTGGAGGCTGGTGGGAGTTGAGGGGGGCAGCCCGTCTGTTGCCATGACCCACTGACCTTGGAGGCTTGCGGTGGAGGCTGCAGATAGAGTTCTCTAGCCAAGGTTACAGCTGCAACCCAGAAGCCAGGGCTCTGTGCTGGCATTGAAAAATCATGAGGCGACAATTGGGCGAGGCCTTGGCAGACACTTCCTGGCATTGCCAAAGACCAGCTGTCTCCAAGACATGTATCTGGACGCCTTCCCACCATTTAATGGACTTCTCACTCAGCATTTGGGGAGAGCAAGTAGGTCTCCCCTGGAATCCCCTCCCTGTACTCAGCAAGACCACCCCATAAAACAGCCCTGATTGGCCTTGCCTTGTGTCTTGAGGCAGCGGTGGCCACCAGCCTGGATGGCTTTCAGAGGATTGGACACATTCAGGTTGGAGAAGACCATGCATGGCTTTTAGCCACAATGGCTGTGGTCTGCCTGCAGACTTGGAGGCAGCAGTGCTTGTGAATACCAGTTGCAGGAGGTATTCAGGACAGGAGGACAGGACAGTGTTGCTTTTTGTGCTCAGGTCCTGCTTGCCGGTTTCCCATTGAGACATCTGGCCACCTACTCTGAGAACAGGATGCTGGACTAGATGGGCCCAGGGGCCTGATCCAGGAGGGCTGCTCTTCTTCTTCTTCTTCTTCTTCTTCTTCTTCTTCTTCTTCTTCTTCTTCTTCTTCTTCTCCTTCTCCTTCTCCTTCTCCTTCTCCTTCTCCTCTTCTTCTTCTTGTCGTTTAGTCGTGTCCAACTCTTCATGACCCCCTGGACCAGAGCACGCCAGGCACTCCTGTCTTCCACTGCCTCCCGCAGTTTCGTCAAACTCATGCTGGCAGCTTCGAGAACACTGCCCCACCATCTCGACCTCTGTCGTCCCCTTCTCCTTGTGCCCTCCATCTTTCCCAACATCAGGGTCTTTTCCAGGGAGTCTTCTCTTCTCATGAGGTGGCCAAAGTCTTGGAGCCTCAGCTTCAGGATCTGTCCTTCCAGTGAGCACTCAGGGCTGATTTCCTTCAGAATGGAGAGGTTTGATCTTCTTGCAGTCCATGGGACTCTCAAGAGTCTCCTCCAGCACCAGAATTCAAAAGCATCAATTCTTCGGCGATCAGCCTTCTTTATGGTCCAGCTCTCACTTCCATACCGCACTACTGGCAAAACCACGGCTTTAACTATATGGACCTTTGTTGGCAAGGTGATGTCTCTGTTTTTTAAGATGCTGTCTAGTTTTCTCATTCTTACCTTATTGCATCTCTCCTGCAGTGTGCCTTCAAGACAGTGTTCTGGCCTTCTGGAAGCACGGGATGCAAGGGAAAAGCTTTAAGTCTGACGAAGTAAGTCTTGGGTTTGGGGGGGGGGGCTTGTTTTCCCAGCCTTGCTGCCCTCCGTGGAAGGAACTTGGTTGCTCTACTGAGAGAGGAACCCCCCTTCTCAGGGAAAGCCAGAGAGGGGAGGGGAGCCCTTGTGGCTCTGTCCTGGTGAAGGGTTATAGTTGGCCCACATTCGGTTAGAAGAATGTTGGGTGCCAGGTGAGGGGAAAGAGCCTTCTCTGGCCAAGATCCTGCAGAGCAACGGACAGTCAGAATAGAAGGGCAATTGGCCTGACCTGGTGTGAGATGGCTTCTTGTGCGGGTGCCTGATTATCGTCTTCCAGAGCAACTACCATATTCCAAACATAAAATGGAAAGCGTAATGCTGGTGGTCAACAAAAGGTTTATTGACTGTCTCAAGGCAAATCTAAAAAATGTAGTATAAACACTCACAATTGGGAAACACCTGCGCCTGCGAGCGCTCCAGTTGGAGAACAGCCTTGACCAAAGGTGTCATGGACGCAAGGGAGAAATGTGCTAAGAGGAAGGCACGCTTGGCAAATCCACACCGTGATCATCTCCTGCCGGGATACCAGTGTCCCCACTGTGGAAGGACGTGTGGATCCAGAATTGGCCTCCGCAGTCACTTACGGACTCACTGTTAAGACCGTGTTTATGGAAGACAATCTTACTTGGCTATGAGGGATCGCCAAAGAAGAAGACATTCTCAAGTATAGCAACTTAAGGGTGGAGGGGCATCGGCAGTCAGGTTTGTAGCCCCCAGAACACATCACAGCTATGAAGTCACTAACAAGCCTTGGTCATTCCCACCACCATGGAGATAATAACAGAATCAGGGAATTGTAGAATTGCAAGGGACTCCCAAGGGTCATCTAGTTGAACCCCCAAATAAAAGCGTATGAAGTTGTACAAACGCACTATACAAAGTTGTTGTGAAGTTTATCACGGTGATGTAAAGTGCTATTTATTATTATTATTATTATTATTATTACTCACGGTTGGTTTATATTGTTTTACCAATACAACTGCCTTCTAACTCTTGTGTAAGGCTTGCCATAATGGCACAAACAACATGCTCAAGGTTCTCACTTCATTATGGGAGGTGCCATTGCCCAGTGGCGTAACACCTTCCTAGGGGCATTGTTTGCTGTCTTTGTGTTGAGTTAGGCCATTGGTCTGTCTAACTCAATATTGTCGACACTGGCTGGCAGTGGTCTTCCTGGGTTTTAGGCAGGGGACGTCCCCAGCCTCCCCCCAGGATAGCAGCACATAAGCATTCCTATCTAGCCCATTTGGAGAGTGGGAAACATGATATGCACACATTATCTCAGTGATAAACCTAAGAATAGCCCTGTAAGGCAGGCCAGGATAATAACAGCTTGCCTAAGGCCACAATGAGTCTGGTTGAAGAGAGATTTGAATTTGGGCTTCCCAGCTGGCACGAGAATCCTGCCCTTGGGCCACTACACTGTCGTACAAATTAAATTTAAGATACAACAAATAGCAATGCAACAATAATGTATATGGATAGATTTCTGTTGTGGCCTTTAGCACTGAGTGCTGCTGCACTCTGTTCCAGCGCAGAGGCGAGGAAAGAGTGCCTGGGCCTGACACCCATTCCCAGGTGGCTTAATAAACCAGAGGTGCAGAACCTGGATGGTGTCAGACTCCATCTCCCTTGACCCCACCCGGCATGGCCCAGAAGTCAGGAATGGTGGGAGCTGGAGCCCAGCAGCATTGAACCATGGTTCAGTAAGCTGCGAAGGTTGCTTCTGAACTAACTTGCTGTGCATTTTGTCAACAGTGACCGGACTATTTGACTCAACCCTCCTCCGCAGTCTTAGCTGGCTCAAGTGTCCCTTTCTCTGCCCCTTTTGCAGGTAACCCAGGAGATCTCAGACGAAACTCGGGTGTTCCGCTTGCTGGGCTCCGACAGGTGAGCTGAGAAGATTTTGACACACTGCACAAATCTTATATTTAGATTTCCAGTCTTTCTGCATTAGAAAACTTCACGGCCATGTTCTTAAAAGAGATGCCTTTTCCCATGTCATAGGATGCATCCAGCAAGACGCCCCCTTATAGCATGTTAAATAATAATAATAATAATAATAATAATAATAATAATAATAATTATTACAATGGTACCTCCAGTTGCGAACAGCATCCGTTCTGGAGGTCCGGCTGCATCCCAAGGTATTTGCAACCAATGGATGGCTTTTACGCATGTGCATGGCGTGGTTTAGCGCTTCTGCTCATGCGCATGGTGCATAGAGCGCTTCTGCGCATGTGCGTGCAGCAAAACCCGGAAAAATACTTCCGGGTTTGCCGCATTCGCATCCTGAAGTTTACGTAACCAGAGGGATACATAAGCGGAGGTACGACTGTATTATTATTATTATTATTATTAAGTCCGATGTTGCATTACAGCTCCCAGCGCCCACGGTGGCTGGTGGCAGTGGGAGTTGTCGCCCCAACATCTGCAGGGTGGGGGAGGCTGTGGTGCCAGGGCCCCAGGGCGCCCACTTGCAGCGAGGGCTAACTTGCTCGTTCCTCCTTCCCCTGACAGGGTGGTGGTGCTGGAGAGCAGGCCGACCGACAACCCAACGGCCCACAGCAATCTCTACATTTTGGCCGGCCACGAAAACAGTTACTAGGCAACCGAAACCCGACTCGGAACCGCCAGCCAAGGAATACGTCACATAAGGAAGCAGCCCTCAAGGAAATGCTATCCAAGCCGGACTCTCCCTCCCTCCCTCCCTCTTGCTCTTTCTCTCTCTCTCTCTGTTTCTCCCTCCCCCTCCCTTTGCTCTACTGTGTCAAAATCCAAACGGACCCATTTTTTTAGGAACGAGAGCCAAACGTCGCCTGGGCGTCCTGCAGCTGGGAAGCAGCTGATCTGTCACTTGCCACTGTGTGGTTGGTTATGTTGAGTTTGCTTAATAAAAGCTACAAGGTTAATAAGCCGCTCTGGTTCGTTAGGCCCAGGCGCTTTTTTGGGGGGGGGAGATCCCAAATGCGTTCACAGTGCCATGCGGTTCTCGACGCAGACTTCTTTTGTCTTCCGGTTAAAATACCAAGGCTGCCGCTGCCTTCCAATCTTGTGGCAACGCCAACTTTTGAATGCTGGTGGCCGAGATCGAAATCAGGAACATTGAGGCTGGCAGGGAAGGCGGGTGCACTTTGGGGACACCCCCCCCCCATGGGGAAGACTTCCTCCGCAAAGGAATATTGTCCAAATGATCCGCTTTCAAGAGGTCATCAGCATTCCCGGGATACCGTGGGTTTTCTGTTTTTTTAACGCAACTGTTCTCTGTGGGTTTGTAAAATAGACTATTTAATCCTTATTTATTAATCTGCTGCTAGGGTCGTGTGATGTATCCTAACTTCTAGCACATGAAGGTTGCAGAGCAGCTTTTGGGGGGGTTGAGGGAGGGGGGGTCCTTCCCCCCCTTCTTTATACAATTGTACAAAGAACCTGGTATTCATTTCACCCTTTTTGCCTCTTAGATGAAGCCCGTCGTCTGAGGGAGGTGTTTATATATAGATAAATATATATATAGGGGGACGCAGGGTGGGAGGAAAGACCTTTTGGCTATTCTTGCAGAAATGCTGTTTTGTACAAGAGTCTTTTGTAGGGGTTTTTGCTCGTGGGATTTGTCGCCAGAGGGAGCGTGTGGCAGAAATGCAAAGCCGTATCTCCGTGAGGAATCAAGGATCCCTAGATTGGCTGGAAAGATAGACTGTGTGTGAGGGGGAGCGCACAGGTGTGTCATCATCAGGAGCTCCTGAGAATGTACGGAGAAAAAGAGATGAAAGGAAAGCTCATCCAGGTCTTGTGGATCCCTGGATCCCCACCCAATGCAGTCCAGGCAAGGTGGAGGTCTTGGTTCAGGCCGGGTGAGACAGAGGTGGTAAGGCCGATTCCAGAGGCTCCCTGGTCCTTGCAGCTGGGTCCCTGGTGCGAATCATCCCTTTCCCTGGAAACATCCCCCTTTCTGTCACGGCCGATGCCAAACTGGGAGCGCAGGAAGCCACCGACTAGATGAGCCTTTCTAAAACTGCTTTCAGGGGAGAGCTTTTTTTAACGCTTCACGGACACATATTTTATTTATACTGTGCCAGAGGAGAAAATGCCGTGCCTGGAAGAAAGGAACTAGATTCCCCCCGGACTGGGCGAGTTTCGAAAGGGTCTGTTTTTTTTAAAAAAAAATCCCGGCGTTATAGTATAAATATATGTATAAGACGCAGTATTGTCTAATAAATCTTGGGGAATATCCTTTGTCCCATTATCCCTTTCTCGAGGCTGTCATCCATGTTTCTCCTCCCCGCCCCCCTTTCATCCATTAAAGTATCCTTTTCGCTCCTGATTTTTGCCTGCTTTCATTCATTACGTTTTAGTGGCTCTGCAGAGGAACACGGGGGGGGGGGCATGGCTCTCTCAGCAGAGCAACTGCCTTGCATGCAGGACGTCCCAGGTGGGGGTCTCTGGCGTCTCCAGGTGGGGCTGGGGGTGTCGTCTGAAACTCTGGAGAGCCACTGCCAGTCTGTGTAGGTAATACCGAGTTAGGCGGACGAGTGGCTTGGCTTGCTACAAGGCAGCTATGTTTACAAGGTAACCATTCTGCACTTCCTGCTAATTTGGTAACGATTTGGATTCCCCCCTCCCCATAAGGAAAAGCTACCACTTCAGGGATATTACATCATTCCAGGGCTTCGTAGAACTGTAGATTTGGAAAGGGACCCCGAGGGGCATCTAGTCCAACCCTCCCGCAGTGCAGGAACATGCAGCTGTCCCATATGGGGATCAAACCTGAAACCTTGACCTTGTCAGCTCCACACTCTAGCCAGCTGAGCTTTCCAGGCACAATATACCATTGATGGGAAGGTGTGGTTCATTCCCCAGCTAGCAGGGCAACTGGGATGTCAGAGCACTGCTCTCCAGATGTTTCAGACTAGTAATAGTAATTTATTATTTGTACCCCGCTTATCTGGCCAGGTTTCCCCAGCCACTCTGGGCGGCTTCCAACAAAGATGTAAAATACACTAAAATGTCACACAAATTCAAATATCTTTAATATGGTCAGTGACCAGAAAGCAATTTATAAAAAGAAATATGACATTAAAAGTAGTATTGTGCTACAAATAACAGTAGAAATATGGCCAATTCACAGAACTGGTGCTTATATTTATGGCCAGGTTTCGACTTTTAAGGTTTTAAAAATTCAATTCAGGTGTCACTACTGTTTTATTATCGTTCCTTCGATGTTTACAATTTGAACTCCGTTGTTGACATCATTGCTCGTCTTATTCTTGTTGCAATGTAACAGTACTTTGCCACGGACCTGTTAATTTCGGGCTCTTTGTCAGCTAAGAGGTGTCTGATATAGGTGTTGTCTGTACTATGAGGTATTTTCCTCAGAATCTGTTTGATCAGCTCTTTTCTTGAGTCTCGATATAATGGGCAGTATAAGATGACATGCCCAATGGTTTCGATTTCGTAAAAATGTCACAAATTAAAAACTTCCCTGAAGCCTTCAGATGTCTTCTAAATGTCAGGTCGTTGTTTATCTCTTTGACATCTGATGGGAGGGCGTTCCACAGGGCGGGCGCCACCACCAAGAAGGCCCTCTGCCCGGTTCCCTGTAGCTTTGCTTCTTGCAATGAGGGAACCACCAGAAGGCCCTCGGAGCTGGACTACAAATCCCATAGCCAGCACTGGAGTGGGGAGTTTTAGTCCAGCGCAACCCGAGGGCACCAGGTACCTGGCAAAGGCCAGTGTGGAGTTTGGTTACATAAGCGTCCCTGGATACTGGCCGTGCCATCCCTGACATCAAGAATGACAACACTCCCCCTGCCCGTGTCAAAACTGGAGCGTTGCCTGCAAAGATTAAAAGCTATAGTGCGAGCCAACATAAAGCAGAGAAGCCCCTGGTCACTCTGGCTCCCCTGTTTTCAAGACCCAAAGGGCTTGTTGGGCACACCGACCCCTCTCTGCCTGACCTGTGGGACTCTTGTCCCTGGGGACACCCATCACTGGCTGTGCTCCACACCTCCTTCAATGGTTTTCATCTAACTAGGTGGTAAGGATGCCTCTTGCGGACGTGTGTGTGTGTGTGTGTGTGTGTGTGTGCGCGCGCGCAAAAACTTGCTTGAGTTTTGTTTTGTTTTAAAAGATTTTTATTGATACAGCAAGAAAAAAAAACACAAATATCAAATTACACACAAGAATAACCATAGACACATAATTTTCTTAGCAAACAATAAAACATATATTGGTCTTAACACTAAAGACCCAACCTCCCGTCTATTCCCTATATCAATTTTATATTACTTATTGCCAACACACACTTTTATCGTAATTAAACTTTTTCTTAATATGTCTTAATTCTTATATCTACCTTGCAGCTCTTCCTCGAATAGTTCCTCGAATGCTGCAACAGTGTTTTAACGACTATATTTATATTTCAAATATTCTTTGAAAACCTCCCATTTTGAAACAAATTCCTGTTTTGATTTATTCTTTATTTTTTCTGATAGACCATCTAATTCGGCATATTCTGTCAGCTTTTGGATCCAATCTTGTATAGAGGGGGTTTCATTACTCTTCCATTTTGCTGCGATCAAAACTCTTGCTGCCGCCGTCGCCTATAAAAAGATACCCTTCCTCTTTTGTGGAATATCCAAATCTGTTATTCCCAGGAGGTAGGCCTCTGGTTTTTTTATTGAAAGAGATCTTTAGCAACTTGCTGAGTTTTCCCTGGCAGGAATGCAGCCGTGTACAAAGCTAGGAATCCTACCTGTTGCCCCGCCCACTTCCTGCCTCTGGCCCCGCCCTCACATGTATGGGTCCTTAAGGGGGTGTGGCCTTTGGCTTGAAAAATGTTCCCTATCTAGGGATAGGATTTTGTGCAACAGAAAGGGCTTCGCCTGGTACCTGAAGACTGGCAAAGGTGGTACCAGGTACATCTCCCTAGCATCAGCATTCTGTAGAAGGACACCATCCCCAGTTGGAGGACGGGCTTTTGAAGGGCTTTTGCTGAAGACTCGCAGGGTCCAGGCTGGTTCACTTATTAATCTAATCAAGGGGGAGGGCCAGTTTCTTTTTTCTTTTTTAAAGATATTTATTAGAATTTTACAAAAAGAAAAAAGAAAAATACAAAGTAAAAATAGATTAAAAAAAAACAATTCCATCTTTCCATCACTTTCTTTCGTTTGCTTATTTCCCGGACCTCCTCACACCTCCCTTTTTGTATTCCAGTTCAATTTGTTAGTTCAGCAAATCCTTCCCCTCTTTGTTTATCCTAATCAATAATCTTAAAATAATGTAACATTAAATTTTTGTCTGTTAATAGCCCATTTTTTTCATACTCCTTATAGCGTTATAGCTAAAAACCACATAACTTTTCATCAAACTCACAGTTTAAATCTTATTTTTACCAATTTCTAATAACCATAATATTCTTTCCTAATTCTTTAAACATTTTTGCTCGTGCCATGCAATTTCATTTCAACATCCTTCTAACATTCATCAATTTTATAAAACAATCTTAGTAACAAAACAAAAAAGAAATAAAGACAATCCAATCTTCATCCAGCGTCCCTTTCTCCTGGTCCCGGGTTTTGTCAGTCCTTTTTATCCCATTGATCTGGTGCATTAACCTGGTAACCTTATATCCGAGGCCCTTAAGTCTCTTCCATGTCCCTTCCGGGGGAGGGCCAGTTTCTAGCTGATGGGAGTTGTAGACTGAAAACCTCTGGAGGGAACCAGCTTGACAACAGCTGACCTACAGGGAAGGTGGAACCTATTCACTGTGGCCATTGGTGTCCTTCCCTCGCAGAAGACAGGATCGGGATTCAAGAGGACCTTAACGGAGTGGAGAACTGGGCACAAGCTAACAAAATGAATGTCAACAGGGACAAATGTCAGGTTCTGCCCTTAGGAAGAAGTAGAAGCACAAATAGAAGGCGGGGGACACCTGGCTTACTAGCAGTACACGTGAAAAGGATCTAGGAGTCTTGGTGGACCCCAGGCTTAACATGAGTTCACAGTGTGATGCAGCAGCAAAAAAAGCGAATGCTATTCTAGGCTGCATCAACAGATGTACAGTGGTACCTCGGGTTACAGACTCCACTAACCCAGAAATATTACCTCGGGTTAAGAACTTTGCTTCAGGATGAGAACAGAAATCGTGATCCGGCGGCGCGGCAGCAGCGGGAGGCCCCATTAGCTAAAGTGGTGCTTCAGGTTAAGAATGGTTTCAGGTTAAGAACGGACCTTCGGAACGAATTAAGTACTTAACCCGAGGTACCACTGTATAGTGTTCAGTTCAAGGGAAGTAATAGTCCCCTCTCTTCTGCCTTGGTCAGACCACACTTGGTCAGTCCTGGGCACCACAATTTAAGAAGGGTGCTGACAAGCTGGAAGGCGTGCAGAGGAGGGCGACCAAGATGATCAAGGGTCTGGAAACAAAGCCTGATGAGGAATGGTTGAAGGAGCTGGGTATGTTTAGCCTGGAGAAGAGGAGACTGAAAGGAGATATGAGAGCCATCTTCAAATATCTCAAGGGTTGCCGCATGGAAGACGGAGCAAGCTTGTTTTCTCTTGCTCCAGATGGGTGGGGTATAAATAAATTATTATTATTATTATTATTATTATTATTATTATTAGGACCGAAACCAACGGAACCAGATGCACAAATATAGGATGGGGGACACCTGGCTTACTAGCAGTACATGTGAAAAGGATCTAGGGGTCTTGGTGGACCACAAGCTTAACATGAGCCAGCAGTGTGATGCTGCAGCAAAAAAAGCTAACACTATTCTAGGCTGCATCAACAGAAGTCTAGTGTCAAGGAAAGTCATAGTTCTGCTTGATTCTGTCTTGGTCAGACCACACCTGGAGTACTGGGTCCAATTCTGGTCTCCACAGTTTAAGAAGGATGTTGAGAAGCTGGAAGGTGGGCAGAGGAGGGCGACCAAGATGCTTAAGGGTCTGGAAACCAAGCCTTGTGAGGAACGGTTGAAGGATCTGGGGATGCTTAGCCTGGAGAAGAGAAGACTGAGAGGAGATATGATAGCCATCTTCAAATATCTTAAGGGCTGTCACATGGAGGAGGAAGTATGCTTGTTTTCTACTGCTCTGAAGGGTAGGACTTGAACCCATGGCTTCAAGTTACAGGAAAGGAGGCAGATGAAGCTGATGGACTATATGGAACTGGCAGAAATGACTGGCAGAATCCGAGACCAGGGAGAAGAGTCGGTGGAAGAAGATTGGAAGAAGTTCAAAGATTATCTACAGAAATATTGTAAAATTAATGAATGTTAGAACGATGTTGGATAGAAATTAAGTGGTTTCTAGCTGTAATGCTCTAAGGGAATATGAAAAAGGGGTTGTTAAGAGGTAAAAATCTAATGTTATTATATTAAGATCAAAGATTAGGATAAATAAAGAGGGTAAGGATTTGCTGAACCAACAAACTGAACTGGAATACAAAAAAGGGAGGTATGAGGAGGTCCGGGAAACAAGTTAAAGAAAAATAAGCAATGGAAAATTTGAGTGTTTTTAAGCATTTTTATTTTGTATTTTGTATTTTTTTTTTTCATTTTTTATTGTAATACTTTAAAAAAATCTTAATAAATATCTTATAAAAAAAATATCAAGTTACAGAAAAGGAGATTCGGACTAAACATTCAGAAAAAAAACTTTCTGACAGTAAGAGCTGTTTGGCAGCGCAAGAGACTCCCAAGCAAAGTGGTGGACTCTCTCCTTCCTTGGAGGTTTTTCAGCAGAGGTTGGATGGCCATCTGTCACGGGATCCTTGAGCTGAATTTACTACATGGCAGGGGGTTGGGCTAGATGAAATTGGGGGTCCCTTCCAACTCTACAGGTCCAGTCCAAGTGGGTGCCCTTCTCCACCTCCACCGTCCCAGCTGCGCGCTGCGCCAGGAAGGACGTCGAGGATTCCGTGCTCTGCCCCGAGGAGTCTCCTGTTTCTGCCCAGCGCTCGGAGGGCAGCGAGGGCGCCGCCTGCCAGTCTGTGCCAAGGCAGGGAGCCGCCCGCTCAGCCTCGCTCCTCCCGGGGGCGGGCATCGCCCCCGCTGCCCAGGCTCCGCCGCCCGCCCTGATTGGCTGCTGCGCGCCTTTAGCGGCTCCGCGCAGCGCAGCGCCCGGACAGAGCGAGAGGCGGCGGCGAGAGGAGGAGTGCGCGGAGCTGGCGGCGGAGGCAGCTGCAGGCAAGAGAGGCGGGGGGGGGTGGCCGGGCAGAGTCCGGCTGCGGCCCGGGGGGGGGGGGAGGAAGAGCAAGGGGTCCTCTGAGCGCGTGCAGAGTGCCCAGCACCGGAGGCTTGCGCCAGCCCCAGGCGGCATGCCCGTCTCCCCGCAACTGCGCCCAGATGCTGCTCTGCGCTCTTACAGGGCGGCTGGCTCCATCGGAGCCTACTTCTAGGGACCAAGGTCCCTTCGGCCCCCCCAATATTTGAGAGGGGTGCCCCCTAAGTTGATGGGCACCTTTCAGATGATGTGCGTGTACTGCATCTTGTGATTATATGGGACGGAGCTTACCTGCCCCCACCTAATATATTACTCAGGTTGGCACCGCTAGCTGCCCGGAGGGGAGAGTGCCCCTGGGCATGTGCAGAGGGCCCTTTAGCGTGGGGACGCTTTTCCTGCTCCAGGAGGAACTACCAAGCTGCTTCGGAGGGGAGGAGGGTGTGCCAGGAGAGCCTCTGCCCGCCTCTTGGCTGGCAACAAGGGAGGTGGTCCCAGCAGAAGGAGGCTGGGGGCTGCCTTTCCTCCTTCTGCCCTTTTGCCCCTTCCCAGTGGCGGCGCAGGGTTCCCGCTGCGGGCGATGCCCTTCTCACCTCCTGGGCTCCCAAGGACTCACCTCCCTGGGCTCCTTCCTTCTGCAGACAAGGAAAGTGATCCACGAAACAGGATCCTGCCCGCCTCCTTTCTAAGAAGAGGCCCTTGGGGGTTTGCTGCTGATCTTGAAGCTGCCCGCAGAGCCTGCCTTGGCAACCTGCCTTCCCCCAAAGGGCCTGAATTAAATTTTAATTTCCAGACGGGCCTTCCTTGCGCAGGAGGAGGAGGAGGAGGAAGCTGGCCTGAAGATGCAGAGGCTGCTGGAGCCGCCCCAGAGATCGGCTTTCACGGCTGAAGCCACCGGCTCCTTGGCTTTGCGCTGACGACATCCGCGCCACTTGCGCCACAGGGTGCTCTCTCCCAAGTAAGTCCATCTGTGCCCAGTGGCGCTTATGCCAGAGCAAATGTGCAGGCCGTTGCTGGCTTAGAGGCACAACTGGCTTCTCATGGTGCTGGAAAACCTGCTGGGAGCCGGCAAGGATTCTTGTGGCCCAAAAGTGAAAATCCCAAGAGTTCCCAACCCTAATGGAGTGGCAGACGAAATTATTCGAGTATATTGAATTGGCAAAAATGAGTTATAAAATTCGAGACCAAAAAGTGACAAAGTTTGAGGAGGAATGGAGTAAAATTGTCGTGTATATACGAAATAATTGTAGAAGTTTAAAAACTGTAGCAGGGCTAACATAAATCTTGTGATGTATAGAATGTAATTAAGAATCTGCAGGAATGGATGTAAATTGGGAAAACCGAAGCAGGGAAGGAGGGAAGTCCGGGCGCGAAATTGCGCAGGGTAAATAAGAAGATAAAAAAGGTTGAATGCTAAAGTTTAAGTTTTATTTAATTTTGTTTTGTTTTTGAAAATCAATAAAAAAGTGTAACCTGGGAAACAGCCTACAGTGCTAGGTGCTCAGGTGTGCTATATGAATTGCCATCGGCAACAGTGCCGGATTTAGGTTTGATGAAGCCCTCAGCTCCTGAAGGTAATGGGGCCCTTTATATGTCCAGCTGTCCTTTGCCAACAACAAATTGTCGCTGTTTTTTTGTGTTGAATATATGCTATACGGTAATTTATGGACCCAACAGGTATCTAAAGCCATTTGCACGTGTTGCTGTGCAACCAGTCCATGCAGAATGTAGGCACCCTATATGTAGAAAGGAGCAAACCAGAGATATTTTAGGGAGCAGGCTAGCAGGCGGGGCCCATGACTTGCATCATAGGAGCCTACACAACACAAAACACTGTTGCTGTATGTAAGTTTTATTTTATTTGGTTTTTATCTTATATGTTGGAAATGTACATACAGGTGTGTTTTTTTCCATTGAATTTTTTTGTGGGGCCCTAAGCTAGAGCTTGTCTAGCTTATGCAGTGGTACCTCGGGTTACAGACACTTCAGGTTACAGACGCTTCAGGTTACAGACTCCGCTAACCCAGAAATAGTGCTTCAGGTTAAGAACTTTGCTTCAGGATGAGAACAGAAATCGGGCTCCGGCGGTGCGACAGCAGAAGGAGGCCCCATTAGCTAAAGTGGTGCTTCAGGTTAAAAATAGTTTCAGGTTAAGAACGGACCTCCAGAACGAATTAAGTTCTTAACCGAGTACGTAAATCCGGCACTGTCGGCAATGAGATCTCCTTGATAACTAAACAAACGATTACTCCGTCTTTCCACCCGGCGCTTTTGCAAACACAACAGGATTCAGAAAGCAAATAACCTATTTCTCATCTCTTAACAGCAGCCTGGGGCTGCATTGCCAAATCCTGAAAGTCTTAATAATTTGGACTGCTGGTACTCTAAGGTTTGGCAAATCACCCTCAGGGAAGTGATGTATCACAACAGCAGAGCTTAGATGGCTGTTTTTTAAATACGTGGCATGATTTTATTTCCTATTCAAATATTGAGGCACCTGTTCATTCGGTGCCATCAGTACATGCAAATGTCTGGCTCATTTAAGACTATAGAGAAACTTTATTCTCAGTAATGATGGCATTCACAGGCGGAGATAACTTATTTATATTTATTATTTGTAAGGGGAATCTTTGTGTAAGTTAATACTTTATTATTCCATTAGAGCTGTGCTGTGTCTTTGAACTTTTGTCCTTCCAGGCTGTGACACTTTATGCTTTAAATTTTCAATTATTTGCTTTATTTATTTGTGTTATGTTTGCACTTTTTTGTTAACAAATCAGTAATATATTTACATATTTAAAATGAATGGCCTTTGGCAATCTTAACCTCATTTTTAAAACAATTTGAAAATGTAGAACAACACTATGACGCCATCACTGTGGAGACTTCATTTTATTTTTCAGTTTTTCAAATTAACAATAATAATCATCAGATACCATTGCATACATAGTTGTTTAGACTTCCCTCCTCCCCTTCCTTGGTTCCCTATACAAACATTTTAAAAACTTCATTTCCTCCTTAACTCCTTTTACTTATCACTCTCTATATTTCTTCCAAAATCACCTTTTAACTGCTAGATATTAAATTAATCCTGCTAAGTTATTTAATTGTCTACAGTAATTTTTTAGATAGTCCAAATATCTCCCCCATTCTTTTTTTAAACACTCTTTCTTCTTGATTTCTGAATCTTCCCATAAGTTTTGACATTTCTGCGGAGTCCATTAATTTCGCTTGCCATTCTTCATTTGGAAGACTTCATGGGTAACATAAATGACTAGGTGCTCCTTGCTCCAAGGAGCGCACAGAGTGTAAATTTTGTCAGAGGAGAGAGTGAGATTTGAAGAGGAGGGTTTAACTGGACAAATGCAGCTGTCAATTAAGCTGAGTTTCTGTAGCTCAGCTTACCCCAGACTGGATCTCCCCAGATGTTTTCATCTACATCTCCCATCAGGTTCAGGGCTGGCGAGAGTTGTACTGTACTCCAGAACATCTGGAATAATAATAATAATGATAATAATAATAATAATAATAATAATAATAATAATAATAATTTATTTATACCCCGCCCATCTGGCTGGGCTTCCCCAGCCACTGTGGGCGGCTTCCAACAGAATATTAAAATACAATAATCTATTAAACATTGAAAGCTTCCCTAAACAGGGCTGCCTTCAGATGTCTTCTACAAGTCTGGCAGGTTTGCAAACACTGTTGTATATATAATGAGGCCAGTTAAAAAGAAAGACGTTGTTAAAAGAATTCCCTACTCCTGCTAATTTGTATCGCACCTCCAGGCCCCCACCCATTTACGAAAAAGAAAAAGGCGCCAAAATGGATTTTGCATGATCACAGAATGATGGAAAGGGTCTGCTATAATCTGTGTTCAACTCCTGTTTTCCTATGAACTCTAAAGTTTCTGCAGCTTCTCACAGAGTGTTTGCTGTTGTGGTTTGCTCTCGTTTTTACAGGTTGAAGACGTCGCTGGTAACCTGAAGGATTCAGATACCCAAAAGGATAAATTAATTGCTGGACGGTATTTCCGTTTCGTATTTGCAATGGAGAAATATGAAAAAATCAGCAAGATTGGCGAAGGCTCCTACGGGGTGGTGTTCAAGTGCCGGAACAGGGACACAGGTCAGATTGTGGCCATCAAGAAGTTTCTGGAATCGGAAGACGATCCCGTTATCAAAAAAATTGCCCTTCGGGAGATCCGCATGTTAAAGGTAACTTCATCAGAACCCCGTTGTAGGGAATCCAGTTAAACAAGGGGCTGCCTACAGATTCATTTCCCCACAAATTAAATAATGTTCTTCTTTTTAACCGATCTTATTGACCAAATGATTTTAAGATCAAAAAAGAAGAAGAAATCATCAGCACATCACAGCATAGGTATATTCTCTAATACGCTAACTTTTGTGGAGCTTTGTTTGGTTAGAGATCTCCCCTGGGAAATTTGGGCTGGTGCAAAATTCAAAGCATGCCTGTGCTTTGGTTCTCAGAATCTTTTGGAACCTACAAAAATCTGATAGATTGGGCTACTGCAATGCACTCTACGTGGGGCTACCTTTGAAGGTGACCCGGAAACTACAACTAATCCAGAATGCGGCAGCTGGACTGGTGACTGGGAGCGGCCGCTGAGACCACATAACACCGGTCTTGAAAGACCATCATTGGCTCCCAGTATGTTTCCGAGCACAATTCAAAGGGTTGGTGCTGACCTTTAAAGCCCTAAACGGCCTCGGTCCAGTATACCTGAAGGAGCGTCTCCACCCCCATCGTTCTACCCAGACACTGAGGTCCAGCGCCGAGGGCCTTCTGGCGGTTCCCTCACTGCGAGAAGCAAAGCTACAGGGAACCAGGCAGAGGGCCTTCTCGGTGGTGGCGCCCGCCCTGTGGAACACCCTCCAATCAGATGTCAAAGAGATAAACAACTACCTGACATTTAGAAGACATCTTAAGCCAGCCCTGTTCAGGGAAGTTTTTAATGTGTGACATCTTAGTGTATTTTTCGTCTTTGTTGGAAGCCGCTCAGAGTGGCTGGGGAAACCCAGCCAGATGGGCAGGGTACAAATAATAAATTATTATTACAGTGGTACCTTGAGTTACAGGCACTTCAGGTTACATACGCTTCAGGTTACAGTCTCCGCTAATCCATAAATAGTACCTTGGGTTAAGAACTTTGCTTCAGGATGAGAACAGAAATCGCGCAGCAGCAGCGGGAGGGCCCATTAGCTAAAGTGGTGTTTCAGGTTAAGAACAGTTTCAGGTTAAGAACGAACCTCCGGAATGAATTAAGTACTTAACCTGAGGTACCACTGTATTGTTATTATTTGAATGCAAACCGTATCAAATCACTTTCCCGTCCCTAATTGCGGCATTCCTGCCTGCTGTCCTTCCTTCCTGGCAAACTGGGAGAAGCTTGCAAGTTTGAGAGTTGGCGTCAGAAGCATTGGGTCTGGCAAATGGCGACTGGTGTGGCCACCCCATTCTGCCCGCCCAGCTTTTGCACAGTTTCTGCTGCGCAGGAGAACTTCCCCGGGGGTGTTCACCTTGAAGATCCGATCTCCCTCTAGCCCAGGCTTAGCCAACCCGGCGCCCTCCGCAGTACAACCTCCATCATCAGCCCCTCACAGCATCTTTCTTTTTTTTGCATTTTATTTATTTGTTAACATTCTTATATTACAGCAGTAAACGTCGTCATATTACATTACAGGACTATAATATAATTTTCAACATGTATACAAAAATTATATACAAATTTTATATACCTAGAAAGAAAATGAAACAAAAGAAAAGAAAGAACAAAGGAGGAAAAAAACACAATTTTTTCCAAAAATCATATACATACCAACACACTAGACTTCCTGTCTTTCCCATTGTATATTCCTTTTTTACAAATGAATGTGCTCACATTATTGTATATTTCTTTAAAGGTAAAGGTAAAGGGACCCCTGACCATTAAGTCCAGTCGTGGCCGACTCTGGGGTTGTGGCGCTCATCTCGCTTTACTGGCCAAGGGAGCTGGCGTACAGCTTCCGGGTCATGTGGCCACCATGACTAAGCCGCTTCTGGTGAACCAGAGCAGCGCACAGAAACACCGTTTACCTTCCTGCCAGAGCGGCACCTATTTATCTACTTGCACTTTGACGTGCTTACAAACTGCTAGGTGGGCAGGAGCAGGGACCGAGCAACAGGAGCTCACCTCGTCACGGGGATTCGAACCGCCAACCTTCTAATCGGCAAGTCCTAGGCTCTGTGGTTTAACCCACAGCGCCACCCGTGTCCCTTATTATTGTATATTTCTTTACATATTATCTAATACATTCCTATATCAATATGTGCTCTTAGCCTTATTTCTCAACTCAGTCTCACTCCAACGTCAATCAAATGCTAGCATAGATAGCGAACCTTGACTGTATTTTTGAACGTGTGTTTTATATCTATCCCACTTTTCCATAAATTTTTGTTTTGAATTGCCTCTCGGGGTATTTGTTAACTGCGCCATTTCAGCAAATTCTTGGAGCTTGTAATGCCAGTCCGTTATTGTCGGGGCTTCTTGTTCCTTCCACCAAAGTCCGAGCTGCGGCCGTTGCACATAAGAGCCCCTGACAGCATCAATGCTGGCTGCTTTGGCCTCTAAGGACATATCCCACATCCCGGCTTTGTCTCAGGCTGGTGTTCTGAGCTTAAGGGACGTGAGAGCTGAACGCAGCTGTTGCTGTTTCCCCCCTTGCTAAGGATATATTTCCCGTCTCTCCTCTTTGTTCTGAACAGTTTTAAAGTCCAGACTGGTGTCTCAGGGTGCAGGAATGTGTCACCTAGGAAACATTAGGGGGTGCCTGGGGGCGGCTTTTCCTGGGAGACGCTGGCCGAGCGCGCTAACTAAGCCATCTTACTCTGTGGTTCCTAATCTCTGGTTTCATCTTGGCGCATCTCCCAGAGCCCTTGGCATTCTTGCCGGCATTGTTGTAGGAACTCCTTGGGCTGAATGGTCTGTGCTTTGCTCCCAGCAGGGAAGCATAAAATTGGAAAAGGGGCTCCAAGAGCTATCTAATTCAACCCTCTGCAACGCAGGAATAGGCAGCTGTCCCTTACGGGGATCAAACCTGCAACCTTGGCATTATCAGGCCCCTCTAAGTGAAGCATCCTGTTCTCACAGGGGTTTCCAGCAGGGGTTTTCCTCACAGGGGTTTCACAGGGGTTTCCAGCAGCTAGTATTCAGAACTCCCTCCTGTGGCAGGGAGTTCCACAGTTTAACTACATGCTGCATGAAGAATGGGCTAGCTACCACCCTCTCCCTTTGTGCACTGTGTCACAGGCACAAGGCTAGTCGATGACCCGGACTATTCAAATGGTAGCCTGTAAATTAAAGCCTGGAGGCGGTTGGAGGATGGATGGCGGCTAACAGATTGAGGTTGAATCCTGACAAGACAGAAGTACTGTTTTGGGGGGGACAGGGGGCGGGTGGGTGTGGGGGATTCCCTGGTCCTGAATGGGGTAACTGTGCCCCTGAAGGACCAGGTGCGCAGCCTGGGAGACATTTTGGACTCACAGCTGTCCATGGAGGCGCAGGTTAATTCTGTGTCCAGGGCAGCTGTCTGCCAGCTCCATCTGGTACGCAGGATGAGACCCTATCTGCCCACGGACTGCCTCGCCAGAGCTGTGCATGCTCCGGTTATCTCCCGGACTCTAAGTGCGGCTACCTTTGAAGGTGACCCGGAAACTACAACTAACCCAGAATGCGGCAGCCAGACTGGTGACTGGGAGTGGCCGCCGGGACCACATAACACCAGTTCTGAGAGATCTGCATTGGCTCCCAGTACGTTTCCGAGCACAATTCAAAGTGTTGGTGCTGACTTTTAAAGCCCTAAACGGCCTCAGTCCTGTATATCTGAAGGAGTGTCTCCACCCCCATCGTTCAGCCCGGACACTGAGATCCAGCGCCAAGGGCCTTCTGGCGGTTCCCTCATTGCGAGGTTACAGGGAACCAGGCAGAGGGCCTTCTTGGTGGTGGCGCCCGCCCTGTGGAATGCCCTCCCATCAGATGTCAAGGCAATAAACAACTATTTTACTTTTAAAAGACAACTGAAGGCAGGCCTCTTTAGGGGAGTTTTTAATGTCTGATGCTGTACTGTTTTTAATATTCAGTTGGAAGCCGCTCAGAGTGGCTGGGGAAACCCAGCCAGATGGGTGGGGTATAAATAATAAATTATTATTATTATTAAAATACATTCTGCTTCTTATTATTATTATTATTATTATTATTATTATTATTATTGGTGTTTGTTTATGCCAAGTAGCTTTGCCATAATGGTGTCAACACACTGATTTCCGCCAGTCCTTGGACAAATTCGTAGATAGTTCCTGGGGAGTCACAGTGCTGTCTTGTTTCTGGGGCTTCCTATCAATGGTTCTCCCACCTAAGTTTTTTGTTGTTCTTATGTTATTTTATTTTAATGCTTTGCTGGAAGCCACCTAGAGTGGTTGGGGAAACCCAGCCAGATCGGCGGGTATAAATAAATTATTATTATTATTATTATTATTATTATTATTATTATTATTATTATTATCTGTAAGCCGCCTTGGGTCCCTGTCATGGGAAAAAAGTGGGGTATAAATAAATATCTCATCATTTTAATAATAATTTCAAGCAAGAAGCTTTGGAATCAGAGCCTGTTGCTTTTTCATCAGCCTTGCACTCTTAAACCAAAGGACACGCTCTTCTGGCCAGCAGATGTCTGCATAACCTTTATCTGCCGCATCAGAGTCGCCGTTTCCTTGGTGCAAGATTTGCCGTGGGTGACGGCCGTTACCCACCGTGGGCTATGCCTGCCATAAGTCTTCCGTATACAATACCCTGGCACAGAACTTGAGTCGCTGCCCATCAGCTAAGAGCTGGAGATTCGGCCGTTCGCAGGAATTTGCTTATTGTCGAAGCGCAGAATTGTACAGCAGGAAGGGACTCTGAGGGTCATCCATCCCAACCCCCTTAAATGTATGTCGTACCCATCCAACCTCTTGCTTGATTGCATCAAAGTTCTATCCATTCCAGAGACACCTGAGGCCTGATAGAGCCCGGCAGAATGGAAATGTTTTCTGCAGGCATTTAAATGTTGGCACAGAAGGGGCTCGCTCAGTCTCTAGTGGCAGGGGGTTCCACAGGACTGGAACAATAACCCTAAAGGCTCAGTTTCTTGTTATTGTCAAATGAGCCTCATCAGCT